TCTGGTGAACTTTTGGCAGTTTGTAGTGGCATAGTCCGGAAAATGTGTCCGACTCAATGGGGTGTCCGAGTCAATGGTGAATCACGTTATATATATATAAAAGAGTACTGGAGAGGCCTCACATCCACAGTTGTTACGTACACATCAATTGGAATGGGCTGTGGAGTAAGATTCAGCAGGGCATCTTGCCGATAACAACACACGTATACTCCAAGGTATACTGGAATACCGAACACACCCAGCGCCTAGCCTGCCGCTCTTCATTCCTCTCACTCATCAGCACGCTCATTCAGCTTGTTGATGATCAACAGCGTCACACATGACCCGACAATGCACAATGCTATGGTCCCCATGACCTACTCAGGTCAGCAAACCTAAGACACCGGTTTTTGAGCCGCATCGACCCAGCGGACTCACCGCCTGCGTCTTCCACCCGCTCTGCACGATAGCTGCTCTTCTGCTGTACTTGTTGACCGTTGCTAGGGCAAGTCAGTCTCACAATTCAGACACCGCTTGAGAGGAAAGTAGAAGGGATCAAACGCATACTCATATAATTGGCGATGCCCACCCCAAGGCAGCTCACAGACAGCGCCCAAAATATAGCGCCCATGGGTTTAGCCATGCGCAGCTCGATGTCGGTTGCCGTCTTGCTCAGGTGGAAGGAGAGGACGATGGCCACGGCCACGATGGACATGTACATGGAGAGACGGAGGTATGAGAGAAAAGCTTGTTTTAATCATTTTTTCAGTACTTCATTAGTCTCGCAGAAAAGGGGCGATGGGTAGTACTTCGTTCATTCGCGCAGTGGTCGCGGCAGTCGCTCGACTCGTTGTCGAAGAGTAACGCGCCGAGGAGGGGCGGCAGGCAAAAGACGTTTTGGAGGAGACCGCGGCTGGAATGAGAATTAGAGTGTGCTCATAACCTTCGGTTTTGAGGGATGCTTACTCTCTCATCTCGGACACCTCGACTGGATGGGTGAGTGAGACGAGCGGAGCGCAGCAGTGGTGACATGTTTGGCTGTCCTCTTCATCTGCGACAGGGACCGAAGAGGACATTTCTGATCTTGTCGTTCTACACGAGTATAAATTGGGTTATGGTTGCCAATGTATGGAGTTGCTGGATATGCCGGCTCTTTGATGCCCATTACTCTGGGTACTGTTACCTTCGGTCAGCGACTCGAGCAATGCCGTTCCCGGCCTTTCGATGACGCTTGCTTAAGGGGCCCGCTTTTCGTTGCATCGCACAATGGCCAACCAGAGTAGCCGTTTCGCGTGTAAGTCGAGACTCGAGGACGGCTAGAGAAGAACAACGGACAATTTTCACTATCCCTCTACGGCCGTCCAGACAGAAGAAAGTGTGTAAACCATTTGGGCGGCGTCAATTGGTCCCAGAGGTCCATCGACCGGCCTGAGTGACCAGTTGTGGCCGAATTGAGGCTGTTTGGTGTCTGCGCTCTTTGACGTTCTTGTGTCCGTTATCGGTTTCTTATCGGCAGTGCACATGAGCCATCTTCTACGTCCGTACAGGGCCCGCGTGTGAGTGGTTGCCGCCAGGCGCGTCTCAGCGCGTCTTCCCATCCGCAATCCTTCACCCCGCCATCGACCAAGCATCACGCAATCTCCCACACCAGATCGAGATAATCATTCTCCTCCGATATTTCATACAAAGTTGTCAGATATGAGTAAGTGGCAAGGCCAGGTTACAACCATGGCTTACCAACATTCTGACCAAATCAGCGTCATACGGCGGCTACCAACAAACAAGCTACGGCGGCAACGATGGCGGCGGTTTTATGGGTGCATCTCAGCAAGGCAGCCAGGGCGGCGAGAGAAAGGTATGCCCACCTTCGTTTCAACCCCATCCCCTGTCTCGTCTCTAATCGTTTGTCCCAACCCAAATCAGAGCTTCGCAGACGACACCCTCCGCCCAGTAACCATCAAACAGTTGGTCGACTGCAAAGAAGCCTACCCGAGCGCTGAACTGGCCATTGACGGCATGCCAACCACCCAGGTGACGCTCATCGGCCAGATCCGCGCGGTGAATCCGCAGGCGATCAACATCACGTACCGCATCGACGACGGCACGGGCCTAATCGACGTCAAGAAGTGGATCGACGCCGACAAGGGCGAGACAACGCCCCGCTTCGGTGTCGACACGTACGTGCGCGTCTATGGCCGCCTACAGAGCTTCAACGGCAAGCGCCACGTCGGCGCCCACTACATCAGGGCGATCGATGATTTCAACGAGGTCAACTACCACTTGCTGGAGGCGACGTACGTGCACCTGTGCCTAACCAAGGGCACTTCGGCGGACGGTCAGCCTCAGCAGCAGGGTGGGGGCGGGATGGATACCGGCGGAGATAGCATGTTTGTGGATGGCGGGTATGGCGCTGGCGGCGTAGGGGACTCGGCGGGCATGCAGGCGAGGCTCTCGCCCTGCTCGAGGAACGCGCGGACTGTCTTCAACTTCCTTGCCAACTCAGCGCCGGGTGATGGCGCCCATCTCAACCAGGTGGCCAGTGGTACGGGACTTTCGGTCAGGGATATTATGAGCGCCACCGAGGAGCTGTTGGGCCATGGGCTGATCTACACCACGGAAGACGACGAGACATGGGCGATCCTGGAATGTTGATCGGTTTTGACATGTGCAAAAACCTGCGGTACGGAAGGAAATCGGGGGAAACTGGGAAAGGATTGCATCATGCGGGATACCATGGCGCTTTGCTGTTTGGCACATATTGTTGATTTTATGTTTCAGTTCATGTGGTCAGACAGGACTCACGGGGCTGGTGATCATGTATATTTTTGCTGAGACACTCGACAGTCTTCGATAAAGTCAAACTAACAAACTACTGGGCAACCGGATGCCCGTCGAGACCGGAATCCAGGGACACTATAGACCCAGAGCCAGCATGTTGGATGCGGCAATTAACAAGTACGGACCGACTCAGTTGATGAGCCATAGCAAAGCAGAAACCTGGAAAAGAGGATCGCAAAAACACACTGACACAACTCGACCCGAAGGACAGGCCTCGAGAACGCCTTCACCTCACCCGTTTCTCAACCTATCAACCCCTTAGGACCACCGAATCTCTTCACCATCGGACTCGGACTAGAATAAGCGACCTTGCAACCGGGCACGCGGGGCTCACGAACCATGATTGACAGCCGGACGGGGGCAGATCCACGTCCAAGGAAGACATCCCGCTTTACTTCAAAGCCAAACTTTTCATAGTAGGCATTGTTGACAAGCGAGCTTGACTCAAGATACATGGGCCGGTTCTCGGCGTCAGCCTGTTTAATACAGCGGGGCGTCTCCCATCAGCAGGGCGTGACTCGATCGGTGTGCAAAGGAAAGAGGGTTACTCACCCGCGCCATCATGTCCTGCAGCAGCCTCGCCGCATAGCCTCGGCCTTGCGAGTTGGGCTTAGTACCCAGGTAGACCAGGTACCATGCATCGTCGTCCCTGTCACCGAGGACGTCGGCCTTGGTGTCGTGCAGCAGAGGCAGGATCTCCTGGAAGTAGCGCTTCTTTCCCTCGGGCGAGAGCTGGAAGTAGAGTCTCCACATACCGCTCCGGAGCTGCGTCCACCATCCGTCCAGGTGTTTGCCCGGCGGCACCCTGAGAAACATAGAATCTTGGTTAGTTACGCTGTCAAATCTCACGATATTACTCTTAACACGTTCGGGGCATGTTCAACAGCTCCGCAAGGGGTGGTTAAATTGCCTACCAGAGCGCCACGCTATCACACTCGGGCCCGACAGCCGTAACCAGACCGCTCATGCAGTGGGCCGCCACCGTGTACGTGAGGATGTCGACATGCAGCCTCCACTTGTCCTCCTCGGCCGAGAGATCTCTGGAGCCTCCGTCGTCGACGAGGTACCGGGCGTAATCGTCAGCAGCAAAGGCGTGCGCCAGCGTGAGCGCCATCTCTCTACACTCCGACATGCCCACGACACGCACAGCCTCCTTCCACCGGGCCGGGACCAGGGACCGCTTCTTGAGCGTCGCCACGACCGTCACGGTGGAGGCACTGGTACTTGTACTTGTACTGCTTACGGACGACGCCATGCTGGGCAGTTACTTTTCAATGTTGACTGTCTAGATGTGGGATCAGAGTTGGTTAGAGACCGAATATCCTTCTGAAGCTAGCGACAGCATTGGGGAGAATCGAGAGCAGAGACATACTTTGCTCGTTTTTCTGATATATTCTGGATACTGTCACCTGTGTGGACTCTCGAAAGTTGCGTCCTCGAGATGGGCATGAATCTGGACGGATGGCGCAGGCAATTGAGGGCGGTTCGAATGTCAGCAGACATCAATATGGCTCTTCGGTCGTTGATCCCCTCGACGAGTGTATGGTTGGGCTGTGGTGGGAAGAGTGACCGAAGTCGATCGAAGTGAGTAATGGATACGGGATCCTTTCGTTCTGGTCACACAGAAATGCAAACACACAGCACAGACCAAATGGATGCTGCTTGTGTGCGAAGCGGGGTGATGTGGTTAGATGCCGGAAGAGCAGGAGGCAGGAGGCAGAGGTGCCCGTTAGGAAGAATACCCCCTGATGGGGGACTTGCAAGCGGTCTTAACGCGACGAACAGTTATTTTCAGTTGAGCTAGGAGGTATTGTCGTCCCAGGGGAACAAGGAAATTGGACGAGGAAGAAGCGAGGACGGAGAGGGATAAGTAGGCGCCGTGATGGGCCAACAATTTCCGAGACATGTTGGACAGAATGAGACAAGCGTAACAGGCTTAGGCTGCATGGCATGACATTGTGACATGGCTCGTCCAGCGCAGAGCAGCAAGAGCCCCGTGATTACACTTGCACACGCAGCCGCCAGCCTGCACTATCATTGCCAACTGTCGGACAAGGCACATGAACGTGGATGTCTTTGGTCGAGGAATCCTCCGACAGGGGTGCATTGAGCAATCGGGGCGTCGAGGCGTCGGGGGCGGCGGTATCCATTGGCTAGCACCGGCTGCCCGCAGGGTAGAAGGGCGAGGCAACGCGGCAGTCGTCGGTCGTCCGCCTCCGTGAGTGGGGGTACGCCGGGTCCCGGATACCAAGGACAGCCAACCAGCGCCGGAGAGGTAACGTCAGAGGCAAGCAAGAAGCGCGTCTGCGTCGATACACGCTTGCTGCACAAACACAAGCTGGGAAGACTAATGCTGCATCGATGCTATAAAACGTCGGGGGTCTGAGCCCCGCTGCATTGCCCAGCAGGCCCAACAGGCTTCAAGGGTGTCTGCTTCCAATCACGATCAATACTTCCCGGCGTGGCGGAACAGATCCATTCACCGATCGGTCCGCGCACATGGGGCCCTGCAAGGCGGTCAGGTGACGACCTCATCGAGGACTTGGGCGGTTTGTGACGTTCCCTAGTCCGGCACCGCGGCGTCATAAAACGGAGACGAGACGTGTGAGGGAAGGGTTGGCGCCATGTCCAAGTTCCTGGAGTTTGTTTTGTCAACAATCCCCCCATGGTTTATCAGGAGCAGATGTCACCTCACATGTTCGCGCCCGAAAATACATCGCCAAAGAAACTGCAGAAAACTCCTGTCGTGTTATGTACTGTCCTCCCTTCTAATCCGCAACAAAATACGCCTTGCCTCCCATTTATCATGCAAGGTGTTGAAAATGGAAGCATAGGGCTCTTTGCGCGGCTTCGTATTTGCCGTCGCAAACCGGAGCGGATATCTTGTCGGGCAGAAGTCGAAAAGAAAGCAACCCGCTGCCGCCCCAGCCAAGAGTTGCGTTGAGCAGATAAAGCAACTGTTTTGCGACAAACCATCAACGGTGGTGGTCCATCAAAGCATCCGACGAATCTCCTGCTCGTTCATGTACTTGTCGAGGCCCGAGTCGAGGTGCTTCCACCAGTCGAAGAGCATCGAATTGCAGATGAGCTTGAACCAGGGAGTGAACTTCAGGGTCGGATCTTCGAAGAGCTGCTTCAGACGTTCGGGCGAGACGTATTGCGTGGCTTGCACTTCGTTCGGGTTGGGGGTGACATCGACGTCGGCCTTGATGAAGAGAATGTAGTCAACTGGAGACACATAATGTCAGTTATGGCCCTCCGTTTTCTATGCACGCGAGCGCGGGATGTGCATGGATTGCTTACTCTCATGCTCGCCCCATTGGCCATCGCTCGGCGCCTTATAGTGGATGCGCGTCAAGAAGCGGAACTTCTCCAGCGGCACCTGCTCCTTCTTGATACCGAGCTCGTGGTCCAGCTTTCGCTGCGCAGCATGCTTGACACCAAGGACGGCATCCGGGAGGGTCGAACCGGTTTCGTTAGCCACGTTCAGGGGGTGCGAGCAGCACGTGTTGGTCCACATGTCGGGAAAGGTGATTTTCTCGGATGCGCGCTGCTGCAGGAGCAGCTCGTTCTTATCGTTGAAGAGGAAAACGGAGAACGCCCTGTGGAGGAGACCCTTGTTGATGTTGGTCATGAGGTGGCCTAAGGAGCGAGGTGTCGCGAGTCAGCGCGAGCTTCAACGCAGCAGGCGCATCGCGGGTGACTTACAGAGTTTCTTGCTGGCAGTCCCGATTGGCAAGTCATTGTCGTCTGTGACAATGCAGACCTCGTCCATCAGACGAATCTGCTCCTCGTCGTGACCTTCGAGGGCTGTTCCGCTCGTGTCAATGTCTGGAAAAAGGCGGAGGATGGTGTCGGCCGTGATCGGCGCGGTGACCGTCTCGTTCGTGGTGGTAGACATGGCGGACAACGATGCGATACGACGCTGAGGTCAAAGAGATACCGTAGGTGGGTAAGAAGTCCGCTACGTTTGGAAGACAACGCACTGGTCGTGGAGGTGGTCTTGGATTTTGGCGGGGGATCCCATCCCCTTTATTACAGTACCTAGTCTAACCCTCTCAACAATTTACCATTAGCTAGTACCTGGATGGACATCTGGGCTCTCCGAGGCAGGGGCTTCGACTTGTGGCAAACCCCTGGCCCGTCCATCAGTTTCCGCCAAAGAAACCGACCCCACTCAGTTGCCCAAAGGCTTGATTGTGGTGCCACGGTAACGGTAGCGTACCGATGACAAAGCAGGATCATTCCATTCCATGCCGTTCATGCACTCCGGACACCAAGGGAGACAGACACACCAACAACCGGACAGACTATACGATGAAGTACCTCTTGTTTCTGCATGTTGTTCGGTTTAAAGTACTCTTGACTTTTTATATCTCACCCATGCCCAAATACTGATGCGTCTGTATCGAAGATTATAGATCCGTAAATCAATGACTTAGACACAGTCAACGCTTTTCTTGGGTCCTGAATCCCTTTCCAGCACGCTGCTTACCCAGTGGTATTCCTATGCTCGGCTTCCTTGGCGGCTTGATGCCAGTCAACACGCCATGTGTACCAATACTCAGCAAGTGAGACGCTACACGTCGTTAGCAGGGCGCCTTACCCAGCGGTCCATAGGAACAGGCGACTCACATCAACAAACCAACAGTGACGCCGAACCAAAGCCCGATAAGTTTCCAGTTAAGGCCGAAACCGAGACCAAATGAGATGGGCAGTGCTACCAAATAGTAGCAGACGAGGTTGGCGTACCCTCCGAACTCCTGGTGCCCAATACCTCGCAGCAATCCATGCGACATGGCCGCCATACCGTCAAAGAGTTGCATCACAGCACAGACGGGGAGCGTCTGCGCCACCAACTCAATGACTTCCCTGTTTTGCGTGAAGAGCAACGGGATGTGGTACCTGAACGTCGCCAAGAGAGTCACGTTGAACAATCCCACCAAGACTCCGCCGACGATAGTCTGATTGACCCCTGAGTTAGCCCCACGCTTTAAAGATAGCAGGTAACAAAAAACTTACCACTTTGGCAGATGTCTTCGCCGCATCAACTAGGTTGGCACCGATGAGGTTAGCCACCCGCGTTGAGCCGGCGATGGACAGCGGGAACGGGAGCTGGAACGTCACCCCTGTTACCGTCACTAGCACACTCTGGGCTGCCAAGAACTCGACTCCCATCCTCCCTGACGCGAGCGTCAAGATCTCAAAGGCAAACCACTCTGCGACCACCATGACCATGCCCGGCAGAGCCAACCGGATCATTGGACCCCAGTTCTTCAGGGCGGCCCATCTGAACCCGCCCCATGCCTCAGACCCGTCCACTTTCCAAACGTAGAAGAAGAGAAGCAAGGGCAGCATGTTCTGGGTAATGGCGACGGCCAACGGAGCACCGTTGAAGCCCAGCCCAAATTTCCACACAAATAACCAATTAAGCAGCATGTTGGTCGGCGCAGCTATCAGGAGCACGTAAGTGGTGGCATGGAACAGACCCTGAGCTTGAACGAACCGCTTGCCGCCTTCGAAAGCAGCATAGGCGGGCGCGCCGAACATAACGATACGCAGATAGTTTGCCGCGAGCGCGGCGCTATCCTTTGCAATCATGGACGCCAGAATCGGCTCGGCATTGAGCCAGACAACAGCCACTGGGATCAGCAGCAGGAGAAGAAAGTATGTCATCCTCTGCAACTGCAGCCCGACAAGGTGCTTGTGGCCGGAGCCAAACGCCTGGGCGCACAGCGTATCCAGACTCGTCGCCAGGCCCTGGATGGGCGCGTAGCACGTGATGTTCGCCGTCATGGTCGCCAGTGATACTGCTCCCAGCTCGAGCGTCCCCAACTTGCCCACGGCAAAGATGGACGTCACGTTAAGCGAGTACTGCAGCAGAAACGTGACAATCAGCGATCGCGAGTATATGGCGATGGTCTTGGCCTCGCGCTGCCACGTCGTCTTGATCTGCCCGGTCGCAACGGCTGCGTTCCACTGCTCGTTGAGACTGTCCCGGCCTCCATGTTGCCCTGCAGAGGAGCGGCGGTGAGACACGAGTAATGGGGCTGTCTCGTCGGGGACGACCAGGATTCGCGGCGCTTGGGCTTCCTCGTCGCCGCTGGGGAGTCGCACCTTGGTGCTGAACAGCCGCTTGTACAAGGCTGAAACCTTGCCCGAAAGGCCGCCCTTTTGGGCACGGTGCTCGTGCTTCGGTGGGAGGATATGGTTGTCTCTGAGCAGGGAGCGCTCCGCATCACGGCTGTGCGCCCGTTCGGACCGAGTGAGGACAGGGGGCCCTTCCAACGCGCCCGGGCCGAGCGCTGGCCGCGTGGTGCCGAACGCGATGCCGCTTGGGCGGCGATACAGGGTCGGGCCGGGCATGTCCTCATATTCGTCCTCTTCTGCTTCCTCGATGGCATCTGAGTCGGTCGGGGTCACCTCTTCTTCGTCGGAGCACTCAGCGAGATCGCGTGCTAGCAGCTCCTGCGCCAGCGGCGAGGATGACCGAAACGAAGACGCAAAAGCTGATTGAATGTCGTGGTGATTGTGGCCGTTATTTGCTGTGCCAGTTGCTGAGCTGTTTTTTGCCGGTATTGGCCGATTCCCCGGACTGGATGCCATGTTTGAGAAAATGGACAGTCTGCAGGCCGAGCCTCCAAATTCGGACGTAACAAAGCCTCGGAGCTGTGTAAAGTATAGGGGCCGGTTGCAACGTCGGGCTTAGATGCTGATTCGGGCCGGTCTGGTATTGGACGCGCCGTGGCGACGAGCAGCAGAAATACGGATCGTATATCGGGTGAGAATTTCACACGTGTTGTTCGGACTCCGAGTTCAGATCTGAGTCATAAGGTTTCACGCGCCAAGAGGGGCCATAGTGTGTGTTTCCAGTAACGTCAGAAGAGAATAGTACCTGTTATAGCTGTTCTTCTGTTCCGTCCAACAACGATCCGTAAATCGATCATGCTAGGTTGTTTCAGGTGCTTGACAACCCCAAGGTACTTCGTACATAGACAATTTCGGAATCGATACCAAGAACATGAACGACGGGACGGAACGGGAAGGGAGGAGATGCATTTATCGACCCTAACCCTACTGTACCCCACTAGCGCTAGACATTATTAGGAAAGGCCCATCATCATGCAGGTTAATATCTGCCCTCAAGAAGCCTTATCTGACGGCGGTAAAACGCTGCAGAATCGAATTTCCCAAGCTCCCAACTTTCAGCAAGCAGCGAGATGTTCGTCGAGCTTGCAACCAAAGATTCAGATCCCTCAGGACCATGAATTCACTGCTCTGGTACCACAAACTGTACATTCCTCGATTGTGACTTCAGTGACGCCGTCAGAACTGAATATACGTTTAGCGATCGACATACAAAGATCCTGGCGCAATGGGGCACCGGGTCCCTCGTGGTCTGGATGGCGGTGCCACGTCCCAGAAGAGACAGAAAGTCGTCCATGAAGCACCAACATCAGAAGAAGTCCATGCCAGTAGACAGTTACAGCAATTACTCTCCTTCAGTCAAGACCCAGCACGCGCACGACACGGTATGTGACCCCCTCATGGCCCATATCCCCCATCCTCCATCATATCCTAAGATCCCCCTCTCCCGTATGCTCAACGTCCAGCTAATATTCTCCTTACAGGCCTACAATCATTCAAACTCTTTCTTGACCAGCTACTCAACCAAGATAGTAAGGATGCCGACCGACCGAGGATACTCAGGGACTACCTTCAGTCCACGAAACCCGCGGATAATGACGAGAACCCTGTCTACCTGCCGGACATCATGCAGACATGGAGCTACGGCACCCAGATCAACAATGAAAACATCATGTCGGCCGTACCAGTTGTTCTTGCCCTTCTCCTGAAGCTGCTCTCGCAGTCCCTCGAGTCGGTTCCGTTCGGGCTGGGCATTTGCCGAACCCTCTTACAGAAGCGCCAGCAGGAGCTTATTGCTCGAAACTTGTCCGCCGACAAGGGAAAGTCATTCATCATCTCCCCGACTCTCAGGATGTTGACTGAGGCTGTCATCTTTGACGGAGGCGCCATCGCGAAGCCACTGTTCCGGGCAAGGGCGTCGATGCTGAAGTCCTTGGCACGGAATATGGGCCTTGTCCATAGAGGCGATGAGGCTGAGGACACCAAGCGTCCGTCCGCCCGCACTAATGCTGTCCTTTTCTTCCTCAGCGCCCTTAAGTTTCTCCATCCAGAGGCGAAGAAGGAGCTGTTGTCGCAGAGGGACATTGTTGCCGCCCTCACACGCGATGTCAAGCAGGATCCGCCGTACCTCGTCAAGGAGCTCCTAGAAGGGTTACGAGCTCATGTGCTGCTAGACGACAAGCTCCCACGCGAGGCAAAAGCATGTTTGCTGAACGCATCAACGCTCACCCGCCTCTCAGCGCTCTACCAGTACCGACTGGACACCCCAGCAGACGACGAGCCTTCGATAGCTGATATTGCCCACGAATTTCTCATGGCGGCATGTACGAGCCCAGGTTGCGGTCTGCTGAGACAGGATTCTGGTTTCTACCCAAGAGAACTTGATCCGAACGTGCCCGTACCGACCGCTGTGGTTGACGAGTGGGGGTTGGAAGTCATCGTTTGGATGAACAAGTTCAGAACCGAGACTCCTGTTCGGAACCACGCCTTGTCAAATTTCCTACCCAACTTACGGCCCTGGTCAAGCCTCAAGCAGAGCGAGTTGATGATCTCCATCTTCAAGGCGGCCCCTGAGCTTGTGGCCCACTACTTCCTCAACAACAAATCCTTTACATTCGAACCGAAGCTGTCGGCGACCTGGACGGGTTACGCTGCTTTCCTGTTCCACACAGTTACGCTACCTATTCCGGATCACTTCTGCCGCGGACCGAACTTTCCGGCGCTCCCTCCGCCGACCTCGATTGTCGTTGACAACATTCTACCTCCCCCACTCAATCCGAAGGCACTATCTCGGAGTTTGGCAAGCAAATCAAATATGATCTCATTTTTTGCAACTCGGATACTGGTTGTTGCATTGGAGAAGCTGGACGCCGCACTGAAGATGCATCGGGATCCGTCTCATGCGCACAAAACCGCCTGGGCAGAGGCCGCCCGCAGGCTGGTGGACGAGTTTCGCCAGCGATGCCCCGGGCTCACAGAGATGATCAACGCGTACCGATCAGTTCCCGAAGGCGATATTCTGCACCGCGAGGCCGCAAGTCGGCTGCTGCGCCTCTGCTACGAGGTTTTACCGCAACATGCCCTGATGGCCAAGTTCGACGTCTCCCCGTTTCTGGAGACCTCCCTCAGCCGCTTGTCGAGGCAGGAGCTGGAAGATCCGAAAGATTCTGCGCTGAGCGTGAAGGAGCTGGAAAATCTGCTTTCCATTGCTGGGTATTCCCCCGGTATGCGGTGGTTTGCCGCGCCGGAGGGTGTGTCGCTGTCCCCGTTTACCCGACTGCTGAAGGTGTGCGTCGATGCTCCCCATGGAGTCGCGCTGGGAACGATTCGGGAGGTGCTGAACTTTGTGGCTGTAGAGGAGGGCCTGGTGCCACGTGTCGACGCACATCCCGGGCTGCTTGCCCTGCTTGAAGCGTTACAGGTTCTTCGCCAATCATACCCAGATTCCATCACGCACGTCTGGCCGTTCTTGGACAACTGCCTCGCGCGCTATGCAAATTCCCCTGTTAAGTACGTCGAAAAATTCTACGCTATGAAAGACGAGGCGGCTGAGCCGGCGGTTCAGGGCCTTACGTCAGCAGACGTGAGCCTGGCTACAATAGCCATGCTGGAGCAGCTACCGTTTGCCGCGGCAAAAGAAGGAAACCAGCACACTCTTAAGGCGCTTGGCCGCTTTTTGCCGAGTTTTCTGGGTTATTTGGCTGCCGCTGGGGAGAGCAAATCACTGCTCGATCTTGTATTCTCCAAGATGGTCCCCTATCTTCCCGACAGTAAGAAAAAGGTCAAGGCTGGTGGTGTTCCAGAGGGACTGGAATTCCAACACAATCCCTGGCCGTCGGCGAAAGCGATCGAGGCTGGGAAAGCCAGCAGCACGGAAGCTCCTCAGGAAGAAGGAAAGTCGAGTCCGGCCATAGATGCGAAGGCTTTGGAAAACATGCTTCATGCTCCAGACGGGCTGGAAGCGGACAACTCGGCTTTAGTCAGGTGGTCTTCGAAAACCGTGGACGAGCTCGTCGACGACGGCTATCTGAAATCCCTCATTGCGCTCCTTGCGTCGGAGCATGCCAGCATACGAAAAGAAGCACTCGTTAACATCCGGAAGGCAGCGGCCAAGATCAAGGAGTCAGAGTACGAAGAGAAAGAGCAGATCTGGCTGCTTCTCATGGAACTTGCCGAGACGGCGGCGGACAACATTAACGACCGGCCGCTGCCTAGTCCGACCTCCGCGTTCGCTTGCCATGCGATCGATGTACTGAGGGATCCTCTCTCCTGCCTCTATCCGAAGGTCAACATGTTTCTCGTGCGTGGGCCGTCTTGGAGCCCTGACAAGATACACCTTGTGGACGACATCTTGGAGGGCGACCCCATGGTGCCGAACACGTACTACACGCAAACAAATTGGCTGCTCGGGTATCTGATAGACGGATTGCGAACCAAACACGACCTCGAGCTGTTCCATAAAAAACGCACGATGGGCCCATTACTTGAGCATATCCTTGTCTCGGCGACGAACCCGTACATGAGGTGGCCGCTCAAGCTGCAGGTGCTACGGTTGCTGTACCGAGCTACATGCATCGAGGGAGGTAGCACGACGCTGACGACGAGATTTGGGATTATGAGCTGGCTCGAGGCGACACAGGCGGGTTGCACCGATGCCAGCGAGGCGGCCGTCTACGAGACCTTGCGCAAGAGGATATGGGAGACGTCCGACCAGGACAGGGTCAGGGCTTGGAGTAGAGAAGGGTTGAACGGTCCGAGCTGGTAGCTGATGCTGGACCTCACTGTTGTTTCCTTGAAACCTGCTGAGTTTCAGTCAAACTCGAGAGCGTGGAAGCGTTGCGTTGTGTTCCACACAACGCACATCGGACTCTGCGGAGAACAACCTTGGAAGGGGCATATAGAAAGAGAGGAAACAAAAACGATACCCTAATGAAAATGGCTAGTGAACTAAAAATCCACAGGCTTGACTCATTCATCGCCTACTCCGCACTGTATAGTTTGTGAATTCGCCTAAGCTATGTACGTTGAACATAATGAATGAGCCGTGGATTGCGGGCAGTTGTCGACGTTGCAGAACCCCGCCACGTCCCTGTTGGTCCCTGGCACCCCACCCTGTTGACCCAGGCTCACCAGGGTTGTCGACGCCACCTAGCCTTTGCCAAGACCGATCTTTTGAGGCTTGGGCCATTTTCAGGTTGATTCGGCCAGCCCGCCACAGGCCGCAAACAGAACGGCAACCGCCCAAAATCCCCAATGCTACCTCCCCAAACCATCAATCAAAGCACTTGCAAACCAATCGACCAGCAACACATCAAACACTCCATACCTCAGCACCACTGCAATCCTGCAATCTGCCAATCGCGCACCTTGGCATCTCAGCGACCGATCCACCCAAGCGATAATTTCAACTTCCACATTTGAAAGGCCTCCATCCTCCAACCCGCCGTGTGTTGTCTCCTTCAGTCCCGAGCCGGCGACCCCATTCAAAGCAGCCCACTCGAGCCCTCCTGACCGCATCTCATCCCGACGCCGCCAACCCAACGCCTACCGGTTGATCGCATGCGAGTGACGTCGCGGACTTGAGTGCATGATCGTCGCATAAGTTTATCTTCTCTCTCTATTATGGCTGGACGATACTCGGCAGAATTCCTGCTGCATCTGCGCCAGTCGCCCCTATGCGTCAAGCCTCCGAACCTTCCCCCTCCCGAGGAGTGGATGGGGTATGTTTTCCCGGCTGCGAATACATGCTCCTTTTTCTGCCTGACGTGTTACTGACGTGGTTTTCTCCACAGACCACCTCCCGACACAAACCGCAATCAGCAAAAGACAACAAATGACCGCCCCAAAGGCGGGGAAGGGGCGCTCGTGAACCAGGAGAACAGGCGCCCGCCTCATGACCGCAATGGATCCAGAAATGCATCGAGTATGCTTCCCTTCCTCATTTTTTTTATCAGAGCCAATATCTACTTGACGTGTACCCGTCTTGTTGGTCCGCATCTAGCTGACAAAATACCCCCACACAGACCCGGACGAACTCATCCTCGGGCCCCCAAGGACGAGCTTCGCATCTGCATCCGCCACCTCAATACGCAACCCCCGGACTGGCGACTCGGAGAAGGGGTTTAGGGACTTTGACAGACAGGATCGTACCGACCGCTTCAATTTCCGCAACCGCACCAGCGACTCGGAGAATGCCGGCGACAGGTTTGGTAGAGACTTGAGAGACGGCCGAAACAATGGCTTTCGGCGACGCAACGACCAGGACCAAGACAGTGAGGGCTGGAGCACCGTGAAACCGCGCAAGAGCTTTGGCCATGAAGGCGCCGAACGCTTCCACGGCCGCATGGGTGGCGTCGGCGCCAGCGACCGATTTGGCGGCCGGGAAGACAATCGACGGTTACGGGATCGGGACGACCGTGAAGTCGGAGACCGTCGCACCCGCAATTTCGACAATCGCTCGCGAGATTTCGAGGGTGAGGAACCTGAGACCCCGCGCAGAAATGGACTGCAGCGGGGCAAGTCGGAATCTTGGTTCAGGGACAATGCGACCAGTGGCGGCAATGATGCTCCTCCAATGTCTCAGCGGGAGCGAATCGACAGGGCCAAGAGCTGGCGCGAACGGGATCTCGACGACAAGCCCGCCGACAGGTATGGCGATCGAAACGACCGAAACTATGAGCGAAGGTGGGATCGTGATCGCCATGCCCGTGTTGAGAATGACCCAGAGTGGCTGGATGAACCCCTCGAGGAGAAGGCCCAGGGACATACTGAGGAAGACTTTAAGAAGTTCATGGAAACCATGAAGGCGGCCAAGGGAGGTGGTGCCCCGAAGCCGGAAGAGAAGCCCAGCACGGCATTCGACGGGCCACCTGCCGAAGCAGCTGCTGGGATGGACCACAAAGTTGTCTCAGCGCCTGCCATAGAACAGGGACCTGACAAGTTTTTTGCCGCTTATAGCTCTGGCCTTGATGTCGGGACACCCAGTGCCGAGGTTAAAGACGCCGCCAAACCGAAGACAGGAAAGTCCTCGCGCTTCATGGCATTCTTGGCTCCCCAGGAGGATAGCCGAGCAAAGACGGAACCGCCAACGCCTGCAGCGGGAGTCCAGCCCGGTGAAAAGCCTAGTTCGTCTCAGCAGAGCGACGCCGATAAGGAGGCGTTTGCGCTTCTCATCCAAAAGCTTCAGCGGTCAGGGTTTGGATCGGCCATGCAGTCGAGCGGGCCGCCGACCCAGCCAACTTCCGGCAAGTATCCCGAGCCGTCTCCTTTTCAAGAAATGCAGCACAAAAGCGCCGTTGCGTCCCCAGAGCCATTCTTCCAGTATGGCAGCAGCGATAGGCGCGACGACCCCCGCACACGTAATTCGCAACTCTCGATGCACGATATTCTCTCTCCCAGGCCAGTCGGTCTCCCAGGGCCGCCGACCCCAGGTACCCGGCCGGAGCAAGCCTTGCAGGATCTTCTCGCCCAGCGGCACCACCTTCCCAGCCAGCCGAGCACGCGCGCCGAGCAGCAGAATCTCACTGCTGTCACCCGTAACAGGGACTTTCTGGTGGGTCTCATGCAGAGCCACCGCGACGCGCCCGAACCGCCACGCACAGAGCAGCTCCTCCTCCGCATACCGCAGCCCACCAAGCAGGTGTCGCTTGCCAACGTGCCGGATCGCGAGCAAGACTATCCCCGCGAGCGGAGCGCCTCCCAGCGGCAGCTACGCGGTTCAGGCGGCCCGCCAGGCTTCCTTGACGACAACCAGTTCCACCCAGGAGACGTCGACACCCGTCCGCCGCAGCCAACGCAAATCCTGCAGCGCCCACCGCCTCCCCCAGGACTGGACCACCAGATGCATCCCTTCCACATGGGCGGAGTCAACCCCACCGCTGCAGCTGCGACGGCTGGTGCTGCAGGCCATATGCCCCCACCTCAGCGCCCCATGATCCCACCTCCCGGCCTCATTAACAACGGACCGCGCAACGTCCCCATGCCAGGCATGTTCCCACCCAACTTTCCGCCCCCGCACAGTCATGGCGGGCCTGTTGGACCGCCGGGTAACTTCCCTCCCGGGCCGCCCCCGCCTCCAGATGGCATGGCCGGCCCGCCTCCGTTGCCTGGTCCGCCCCGCTCGATGCAGCCGCCTCCGGGCTTCTTTGGCGGACCGCCCCCGCCGGGGTTCATGCCCCCTCCTGGAATGGGTGGTGGTGCCGGCGGGTTCCAACAGGGATTGGACGGACCGCCGAATGCGGGAACCATACCTGGCGGTCACAGCGGCATGCCTGGGTTTGGCGGCATGCCTAGCCCGTTTGAGAGGTTGGAGCGCATGGGCGGCATGGATAGGCGCGGGATGATGCCGCCTCCGGGGGCGTACAGGGGCCCATGAACGCTTGCTGGGTTGAAACAAACACAGATGTTGAAACTCTTGATGGAAGGCGGTCTGGTAGATGGAGGTCTAAGTGATCTTCTCTGGGGGCTGCCATGACTCTGTTCTTGGCGGGTCTGTGGTTGGGACTGGACTGGACTGGACTGAGCGAACATGCGTTTACTACCACACCCTGCCTAAGGTACGCTACCTACCCACACCACCAAGTAGCGTACGTCAAGTACTATTATATTTGGGGCGACGGATGATGAGATAGTGGGTGGTGTGGAGGTAGGGTATGGAGGGCGTAGCGGAAGGGAGGGATAGGGAGGATGATTCTGCGCAACAAAAGACGATGACGTGGGCGCATTGGCAGGCAAACGCCAGGGTCCAGAGGTAGTCTCATGTAGAGTAGCGGCTGTAACCGGCTGCTCGTTATGTGGTTATGATATTGCTGCGTGCGTACTGCTGTGCTGTCGCTTGGTTGAGTGAGTCGTGCTGGAATGATGGGTGTCACAGGATGTGTCGCCCTATGTAGAGAATTATCACGCGCAACAGCGTGGCCAGGGGCGCTGTCTCCTCTCCTTGATGCAGCATGATAGCGGACCATTGAAAGCGGTTCAATTGGTTGATGAATGTACTTGCACAGCAAATTATTGCAACAGGTATTGCCATTCCTCGTCCATCTAGATGTGACATATAGACCAAGACGGTCAACTTCAGGCACAACGTGGTTGGCCTTGGGCAAACAACCCAGCAACGCCATGAACACCATTCCATTCCAAGACCACCCAGCCAACCCGCGTAACATCAAGGCCATATGGTCGCTAGCTATACACATGGTGCAGCCACACGATGAGAAGCAACAGAGAACTAGCACCGCTCAAACACGCGGTACAAGCCCTTGAGGTTGGCAACCTCCAGTATTCCCCCCTGCATCAGCGACTTGGTAGCCACGAGCCTCGACTTGAACGCCGGGAAGAGCACGTGCTCAAGCGCCCGGCGTACATGGCTCCGACGGGCCTTGATCTCATCGCTGATGCCTGCCTCCTCCTCCGCAGCCACGCCTTCCTCGTTGCCTGGTGTGGCGGGCAGCTGCTCGGGGACGTAAAAGGCGGCGAGTTCCTTGAGAAAGCTCTCGAAGCATGCCTTCTCCTCGGTCCAGTTCACGTGTGGACCCAATCTCAGGAGGAAGCGCGGCAACTTGACAATGGCTGGGTTGTATCCCTTTATCAGCAGCGGGATGCTGAGCAGCTCACCGGTGGGGGAGATGTCAAGGGAGAAGTACTCGAGCAACATCTCGCGCCGCTCAATCAGTTGGGCGGCAACCAACTCGACAATCTCCGGGACATTGAAGTCGTCGTCGTCGTCGTCTATGCCATCTCTGCCGGTCTCGACATCCTTTTCCTGCTGAGCAGCCAAGGTGAGCAGCTCCTTCAGATCGAGCGGCGGACTGAAGCGAATGACGCCGAAATTGCCAAAGTCGGTCAGACCCAGCTGGTAAAAATACTCAAAACAGACGCGGCCGTAATCGACAAGGTACAGCTTGACGCCTCCCTGAATAGCGGCGAGACGGCGGCGCTCGTCGACAACGCCGACGAAGGTGTGATTGGCGAAAATCTCCGTCAGCTGGTGGTGAATGTTGTCTCGCACCTCGGCACGCAGCTCGCGGATGCTGATCAGACGACATGCTGTGACCTCCCGGTCGACAGTCTCGTACTGGATTTCGGCGTCTGCGTCATGGGCTGCCCCAGGGCCTGACGACGGACCGGCGACCGCGGCGGGAGGCAGCATGCTGGTAATCTTGCGCAGATTCGTGTCGGTCCGGACAAGGTTGTTCTCGTTTGGCCGGGTCGTCGTCCTGCGAGCCGCGCCTGTGCTTGTCTTACAAGGGGCTGCGGCTATTGACTGTTGAGGGTCGGGTCCTGGGCATGACCAGGTGCCGCCCGGAAGTAGGCTCTGGGTGACAAATGTCCGGCTGGCATCTACTGCAGCCAGTTTTGAGCGGATGTGCTCGCAGATGGCCTGAATGATTTCATCTTCATTTAGAAAGTTCACTTCCCGCTTGGTCGGATGTACGTTGACATCTACGCGGCGAGGATCGATCTCGAGGCTCAGATACACGAAAGGGTGGCCATTCTTGGGAAGAAAGGCCGAGTATGTTTGATCAATGGCCTTCCGGATGTTGGATGACTCGACACACCTGTGGTTGATGAACAACAAAACGGTGGTCTTCTTGGTACTGTGGTTGGCGTTGGTAGCTAGCCCCTTCGCCTTGAAAGCCCAGCGGTCATTGGACGTGGAAAATTCAGTGAGTTCGTTGGCGACACTGCCACCATAGATCTGCCGGATTCTGTCGAGGCATGAGGCACTGGCTTGGACGGCAATGCTTGTCGACGACTCGCCGTGCTTCTTGCATGAGAAGGCCACGTTGGAGCAGTGGATGGCGTACCGCCCAACCATGTCAATGATCTTGTTGTACTCGTCCGAGGGGGATCGGAAAGCGCGTCGACGCGTAGGGACGTTGTAAAACAGGTCTTCGACTGTGATCTGGGTGCCTTGGCGCCCGGCAACCGGCTTTGGGTCAGACGACTGGCCCGGCTTGGCCGGCACCAGCTTGCCGCTGTCATAGTAAGCCCGCCATGCGCAGTTGGAGTCGCGAGTCTTTGTGGTTACTGTGAGATGGGCAATGTGGCTGATGCTGGCCAGGGCCTCTCCACGGAAGCCGTAGGTGGCAATGGTTTGCAGGTCCTCAAATTTCTGCAGCTTGGAAGTGGTGAAGCGCTCGCACAATATGGGTAAGTCTTCTTTCTGATCGTTCTTCTATGAGTGACCCGGCACGGAGTAATGGTAGGGAGCAGGGGGCGGACACACATCAATGCCACAGCCATTGTCGGTAATCTGCAGTAGCTTCAGGCCGCCGTCCTTGACCAAGACCTCGACCGACGTGGACCCTGCATCGACAGCATTCTCAATCAACTCCTTGAGCGCGTGGACGGGTGCCACGATGATTTCTCCAGCGGCGATTTTGTTGACGACATCTTGGTCCAGTGCCTGAACCAGGGAGCATGGGGCTTAGCAATCTGATCTAGTTGAGATCGGTCTGAGCCTGCCGTCATCATACCTTGATCCGACGAGGAATAGCAATGTCATCGAGGGTGTCGGCTTTCCGCTTGGCGCCGCGGGGCGGCCCATCCAGGTCCATTGCATCACTCATTCCGTGGTGTTGTGTTGCAGTTGCCAAGAATGGGGCCCTCAAACCGGCGAGTTTGAATCTCGAGTCTCTCAATCTGCCCCGGCCGGCTGAAGTGCGGTCGTTCTGTGGCTCATTTCAGCTCGCCCGGGGGTAGGAACGTCCACCAAAACCGATGAGATGAGTCAGGCAGCCATGGGCAGGTTGTGCCTTCTTTCTTGGTGAGCCTCGCCAAATCTCATCAAAGCGCCGATTCCTGGCGCGGCAACAAGGCAGCTGATCTGCATACAAGCACCAAAATTGGTATCTCTTAGCGGCTTTGAGCTTCAATACCGTAACTAACTTTCTTGTTCATTCATTCTTTCCAATTGTTTCCTGCATCATTTTTTCCCCCCTAACTTCTACCTTTTCCCTCTTCGAACACCCGACCTTGCTTAGGTGTCTTTCTGAGCAGACAAACAAAGTGTGTCACCCTGACGTTACAAGCAAGGCACATTGGACTGTAGTTGATCCTACGTTTTGCGTACAACTCGTATGGTAATGTGATGCTCGGATTGATGCAAACTAACCACTGAGGTACAGTAGAGGTGGATCAACCAACAGAAACCGCCCAGCAAACCCGATTCCATGTTTCGTTCTGCCTCCCGAACCCTGGCCGAACATTGACCTGGCCAGCGGACTCTGACCCATTCTTCACAAGCTTTTTCATGTCCGACTTTGAACAGTCGTCATTGCGTTATCGCCATCCCAGAGCACCAGTGTCTGGGACGTCATGGCTGCGCGCTTTGCGGCGCAGTTCTGTGACCTGGGGCTGGTTCGACCAAAGAAACCGCAGGCTTCTTACGCTTTCGCACCGCCAGAACTCTGCATCGGAATCTTGAGCGAGCCACGCGGGAACATTCGGAGCAATGTCCAGTTTGAAACTCAAGTTCAGGCTCCCAGTTCTGGCGCAGGATCCAGTCCACCTGCCCGTCTTCCGGGTTAAGGGGCTGAGCTTATTGGCGGCTAGGAGTTCAGGACGGCGTCAAGTCGGAATCACTTCCGCTCAACGGCTTGCCCCATGTGTATATCGGCCAGCAGTCAGGTGGTCGCACAACCACGTCCCATGCCCGTGGGGGTTGAAGCGTTAGGGTGGGTTGCAACCGACTTGCCATCTTGCAGACAACTTCACGCCACTCCCGCCATTGCTTGCATGCTTCCGCCCATCCAAGCACCCTGTAGTCCTGTCCTTTTCCCCAGGCACACAAGAGGGCTCTCCAGCGGGGCACCCTCGGCTTCTGGGCGAGATGCTGTTTATTTGCCTTGATCTTGCAAACAAGCTGAGTGACTCTTTGCAATCTTGTGTCTCCTCTCAGTTCTTATTCTGGTCTCTAAATATGTGAGCTCAATCCTGTTGTCCGTCTGCAATTTCTGCTTGCATTTGCTTTTGTGTATGCGCAGACGGATGGCATCTATACACTGACTTGAAGCCACCTTGAGCACCGCACGTCCAACACCCGATATGACCATGGCGAATGGTTTACCGCGTGGTATATCTGGGCTTCCCAGTCCAGACCCGGCTGCGAGCGAGGGGAACTCGTCAGTCCAGGTCAATCTCGATTCGGCGAGCAACCAGTACGTAAAGTCCATGGAAACCACCACTTTCGACACATCAGGGAACCCGCCCTCTAACAGGATCACGTACCCTAGTGGAGAAGGCATAGGGCGGCGATCCCGTTCGCCGTCAATGCGACGATCTTCCTCGAGAGGACAGTCGCTGGCACGACAAGCAACTGCCAACTCTTTATCGTCCTTCCTTTCATCACAGCCATCGTCACAGCCGTCTCAGACCGAACGGGCGCCGCCTGAGGATCTTTTGAGGGACCTCATTGACGCCACGGAATCAAGCAGCGTTGCCATTAGCGGTTGCCTCCACGGAGTGAAACGGCCTCACGACGATGAGACGGCGGACGAACCCCTCGCGAAGCGGGACAAGCTCGGCGAGGAACTCGAGAGGATGTCTGCCGCACACTTAGCCGCTGTTTCCACTTTGGTTGCGCCAGCATCCTCAGCCTTCCCGGCAGCGGCAGCAAGGCCATATGCTCCCCCTGCTAACGGCTCTCCACTCCCCGACCATGGCGATCCGACAGTCGGCATGGGGACAAGGGGTCGGCTTCCCATCAGGCCTTCGGGACGACGACCACAACATCCGAGCAATGGGACACACCTTTCCCGAAACTCAATTCCAGAAGGACACGAACAGGCAAGTCACTGTGACGACGAGTCTGAACGCTCCTCGGATGGTCCAGGAATTGGAGACGATGCGTAGGTTAACATGGATTGTCCAAAGACCCTCTTTCACGGACACTTTTGTAAGAGAAAAGTTTACTTAGTGTCATGTGGGATTGCTGCTAAGACGATCAACTCGAGACTCCGCATATCATCGGGCCATGTCTTTCCGCCCTTTCAGTTCTGCATAGACCATAAAAATTATAGACGTCGGCATATCGCACCAGGTTCTCTCTGTGGTCCGAGGGACTCGTGCAACGTGACACGGAGATCAGCGCCCGATTCGTGCAACATCCGGCGTCCAGGTCAATGATCCGGAAAAAGCGCCGATCCGATCGTGGGGTTGCAACCGTCGTCTTGGCCCGCTCACGGTGTCAATCTGTCGGTAACTGAGAAATCTCTGATGACTTTGGGCATGGGTAGAATGGAATCTGCAGCCTCCATGCCATCGAACAGGCCGAACCTTGTGATAGTTGGGTCGGGTCTGTTGAGTCGGGCACCATCTACCTGTATGCTGCTGACACGTGGACGATCTTCAATCAGTGACAACGGAGTATGGTATCCAGCGCGCCGGCGAACTCGCAATAAAATGGGCACTTCCAGTGAACGTGAGATCAGACGCTTCGACGTCGTTCAAGCAACCCAGGTCATCGTCATTGATTTACCCGTCCCGATGTTACGCTGATCATCCCCTGCCTTGGTGGAACAATAATTGAAGGGCCTCAGACAACTGGATGATCATCAGGGCGTCCTATGCGGCAGTAAAGGCACAGACAAAGTCAGCGTAGGATTACCGAGAATGGTGCAAAGCTGTTAAGCCGTCGTGTCTTGCCCGAGAAAGACCTGGTTCTTCTGCCTCCGTCTGGACCAGCTTTTGTGATAACGCCTTTTCTGGTACCGAGTGCCACCGAGGTAGACGACGCAGGTCGCTTGCCAACTGAGTATACCATTCCGCAATCTTCCGCCTTCCCTTGGTCCGTGGATAGATTAACTCGCATTCCCATGGGCCAAGGTTACCTGTGCGGTGCCGACTCGGTCATCGCACCGGCTACTGCGTCTCCGGTTGGTCAGAAGCTCCGAGCCACAGCAAACCTTAAGTCAACGTCCACCCCATCCCAGCATATCAACCTTCCCCTCTTCAATCCTCAACTTCCTTTTGGCTTTGCTTCCCTTCACTTGTCATTACATTTTGACGCCTATCATCTTGCTTGCCGTCTCGAAAGCACGACAGTCTCACAAGCTCACATGGACACAAATATTCGACGATGCCAATGTCCTGTTCGAAATCAGGCCACCGGAAGGTTCAATGTACAACCACTTCGGCAGGCCGCACGCAGCCATGGCCAGCATAGTTCTCTTTAATGATTTGCCAAAAAAAAAGAACAAGAAAAAAGAAAGAAAATGAAAAAAAATTAAAAACCAGAGAAAGAAAGAAATAAAAAGGAAAGTCCGAAAGCCTAACCTCGGCAGGCCAGTTAATGAAGGAAATCAAATAATAATCGATGTTCTTTCTCAACAACACCATAGAAAGAAACCGCAAGGCAACATCAAAATAGCGATGAACGAAGGCAAACTCCTACGAGGTATCCAATCAGGCAATCCTTCTAGTATTCCGCATCAGGTCCAGCCCTAGTTCCCCAACACGCCAGCGTTTACACTGCCCAATCGGCCCCTCTTGAAGAATGCGGCTATGCCTCGAAAAGAAAGAAAAGTACGAAAAGAGAAAGATCCTCGTCCGCTATTATGGCCCCCCATTTAAACGGAGATATTGGCAAGTCGACCAAGAAGAGAACAGACGCAGAAGAAAACAGCTCCAGTCGGTGAATCAACGCCAAAGAATGCTCCTCCTTCGCCGGCCGTCGCCAACACATATGATTCTGCTCGCCAAATGCGAATCGGACGCACGACAGGCGCGTCTCGAGATATACAAAGTGGTATCATTCCAAAGAGAAGAAAATGCAACCTTCGAAAAGAAAACAAAGGGAAAAAAATAAAGGGGCGAATTCGAATGCGCAATATTTCGTTTTCGACCATAACTGTTCCCCGCCACCTTCTGTTTTCCAATTCGGCAAACATGATTCACCTCCTTGTCCCCTTTCATTGCACCGGTATCATGGCTCACGGGCTTCTGTTTGGTCCGGGATCTTCAAGGAGGCCTCCGATGCCTATGCGGGACCGTTCCTCCCGACGGGCTTGAGATGGGGTGGACGGTTGCGCCTGCGGCTGCAGATGCGCTCGGGGGGATTCGGGTTGCAGAGAGACGCCCGCAGGCGGCGGGCTTCGTATCCTAGGGAGTGTCGGGTGCTGGTATTCTGAAGCCTGCGGCAGGGGCGAGCGACCAACCGGGTGCATCTCGGTTCGTGGAGCTTGATAAGTTCTCGACGTAGGCGGGTGGTCCGGTCTGCTCGGCGAGACGCCGTATCCCGATGAAAGACTCGGGCTTCGTGCCGTCAACATGTGCAGCGACGACCCGCTGGAGGGGCCGGGCTGCCTGGGATCGTACCCGGGATCGCGCAGCCGCGGTGGCCTCGGATCAAACGTCGCCGAGAAAGGTGTCGGCTGCGGGTAGGTTTGATGGCCCGGCTCGAAGGAACTCCCCAGGTCTTTGAAGCCTGGCGATGGTGTTGGATACGACGGCCGAGACGGCCGATTCAACAAGAGCACGACGAAGTACACCGAGTCCCGCGACCCCAAACCAGCACGCACTGGAATGGAACGCTCTTGTCCGTCATCGCCCAGGAACTTGAAGGTGTCCGCCCATTGAAACGAGTAGCGCGACACCTCTTCAGGACCATACCCAAGACTCTGCATCACCGTCTCACTCCGCTCGTTGAGTATTGGTGGCAGGTAAGCAGGGTCTTTCCTGTTCTGCTCCTCCTGTGCCTGCTGCAGCAGTCTGGAAGCCCTTGGCCCCTCCTCGGCCGCCAGGACATTCGCGAGATTGTGTCCCGATACCGAAGTCCGTCCTACCGCGCTGAGAAAAGAAGCGGAAGCTTTCGAAAACTCGAGATGCCCGACCGTCAAGTATGCGACCGGCTCTTCAGGGACTCGGGTCGTCGTGATGGATAGTGGAGCAGGGTAAACGTTGGCATCGGATGCCAACCCGCGCTCCGGGAACCTTGGTGCGCTCGATTCGGCTGGCTGAGATTTCAGCACGCGGTACGACTGGGTGCGGCGAAGAGGGTCATCGTAAACCATACCCAGCGACGGCCCCGGAGCAAATGCCGACGACAGCGGCCTCCTCATGGCATCCGCAGCGCTTCCAAACCTTGCACCTTCGTATTTCGCCTGGCTGTCGTCTCGCAGCCGGGGTCTCCCTCGTTTCTTATGCTGGACGTCCACGCATGCACCCTCCTTGTTAGTGCTGATGCATCGTGAACAGGGGCGCTGCGCTGTCGAACCGTCAGCATGCCAGTCACGAAATAACGGGTTGAAACGGCCGGACCAGGAGGCGCGCCTGGGAATAGTCGACCGGAAGGATCGCTGGACCCAAAGCATTCATGACCACATGCTTCCGCGGATCAGCCAGTCTGGGATGCACTCATCCAGTACGGATCAAAGCTCTCCATGGCCCTTGGCCGCTTGCATATCCGAGCCTTTCATCTGCGGCGATTCTCAGCGTATGTTAAGGGCAACGGGCCGCCTTGCCACAAGAGAACATCGCAGCAGCGAGCCGTCCGGATTGGAGGTTACCGCATCCCAATGGTCAAGGCGCCAGCACGGTGAAACGGTCAGGTATCGAGGCCCGAGCACGGGGAAGAGATGAACCTCGCTTGAGAACCAACCACCTTCACCCGCTCCGGCAGCCTGATGATGACTCCATAACCGAACCAACAACAAGTCAAGAGCCGTTGAGCCGTTTCATGTTGAGTACTGGCCTGGGCCGAGTCTGACAGGGGAAGTTATATATAGCGTTGCACGCTGGTGCTTGGCGCTGGCGGGTGCCGTGCCAAAATGAGTCCCGGAGTTGCTTGAGGATAGTCACGTCAATTAAATCCGCGAACGACAAGGATAAATGGGACCCCGGGAATAACGCCGGTCGCCGAGCCCAGTATCTATTTTGAACCTTGCCGTTGTAATATTGGACAGAAGCGGTTCTCTATACGTACCGTCGCATCTACTAACTGTTAGCTCCCTCATGCTTTGGAGTCGATGAAGAAAACCCAGGAGAACGAACCGGAGGTGGGCTTTTTTGCAAGGCACGCACGCAGATGCCACATGCCCTTTTGTCTTCCTCTGTGGCTTAGGTGGCGTGTCATGGAGCGCGTCTGGTATGGAATGATGTGTTGCCGTAGAATAAGTTTGCAGAGCTGGAAGCGCGCCCTGATGACTTGGCCCAGCCACAGGTCCAGGGCCAGCCAAGTATGTCGATGACGTCTGAGTGACCTGGCTGAGCGGTTGCGGGTAGGGTAGCGGTCTCGGTCGGTAAGACGGGAATATTGGTCGCTCTGGTGCGTCCGAAACAAACGGGCGATGAACACCTGCACCTCCCCCTTGCGTACTCTCCTCGCTCTGTGATGCCGGAACGCTAGGATACACATCCCGTGTCGTCGCCTGATACGTTCCCTGACTCCGCTCGGCAACCCCGTGGCTGACTTTTGGAGGTAACGGTGGAGATCCCGACATGGGCGGTGACGGATAGCCTTCTGGCCCAGCAGCAGCTCCGGACCTAGCTCTGGCCCCTGTCAGGTCAAGGCCGAAGCGTGCCGGATCCAACACTCCTCGGCGCTGGCCGAAAGACGTCCAAATATCGTGGCCTCTGGGGCTGAATGTCTGCATGTGGAGGACGTGTAGGGCCGCTGATGGAGCTGGATGATTCCAATGTCTTCCAGACGGCGTCCTAGAGGTTGTGCTTGGCGAACTGGTCTCCACGGGGTCCCTGCCGGGGGAGACAGACGTCCTAGCCGTGTTCCGAATTCAGATTTAGCGATAGACATCACCCGACGCGGCGGGGATTGCGACTGTGTTGTCGATTTGGTGACAAGTGAGAATCTCGGGCGTCTCGTTATGCGGGCGTATCCCGTCTACGGCGGAAGTCGTTGGCGAGGAATAGGGGCGCTGCATGGGAGGGCTGAGAAGGACTCTCTCAAGTGGTGCCCGAGTTCGCGCCAGTGGCCGGTGCGGAGCAACAAGCTTGTGACTCGGCCAGTGCTACACTTCGCCGCGGTTCAAGAGCTGTGGGCGACAAATAACAGCTCTCCTGAGAAAGGGAGAAAGCTTTCTCTGGTTGAGTGGGGAGGGCCAGATGATGGAGGGCGAGGAGGGGACCACGGTGTGAGTCTGGCCCGGGTCAGACAGGATACCGCAATGTGAACCCCTTTCAGTGACGTCGGCGAACGGACAAGGGATATGTACAACATTCAACGGCGTCCGTACGATGGAGAAGCTCTCGGGGGCTTGCAGGCCTGTCCCGTCACCAGTCAGTCTCTTGTGACATGGGGCGTGAGTGTGTGCACCGAAGCGGAGCGGAGCGGCAACCGGACGGGTGGGTAAATGACTGGGGCGTGGCTTCACGTCTCTACTGAGTAACGTCGGCACTCGAGAGGCTCTGCTCGAAGACGAGGTGTGGCCGGACAGGCGAAGGCAGCTACAGATAAGAGACTTGTTGGAAAGGAGAGATTCGGTATCCGTGGCACGTCAATGGTTTTTGTGCGAGTTTAAGGCAGCGGTGCAATTGGGATGTGACCCAGATGGAGCAAGGGTAGACGTTCCCGAGGTCAGGGCACCCTGGCAAGTGTGGATGGGTAGACCCCCCGGTCGACTTCGATGTGCTTTGGGGTGTGGGCGAGATGGTGTGGTGGATGGTGACCAACGAGCTTGGTACCGGTAATCTTGCAGAAGAGCACAGACTGACGAACCTGGGTTTCACGCTTGTTGTCGAGGGCGTTGGACTTGAGGTGGGGTCTCCGTAAAATAACTTGAGGGGACCTGAGTGCGGTTCTGACCCGGGCGTCTCCCTGTTCTCACGGTTAATCAGGGTATGAGGGCGCGCCAGTGCCGTTGCAGATAACGATGCTGGAATTGGGCGATGGTGGCATGGCAGCATGGCAGCATGCAGACAGAAAAACCTGGGAGAAGTCACCCATCCATTGGGCGCTCGGCCACTACGCCATGCCGTTTCGTGCGCCCCATACTGAACGCCCATCCAGCAGGATAAGACGTCGCGCACTATGTCACTGGGTGCAATAAAAAATCGCGTCTCGCACGTCCGCCCTTGCGTCCGTGTCTGATCTCAAGGGTCAAACTTCAGGCAGGACCAGAACGTACCACAATTCCGTCGACGGCTAGGAGAGGAACGCGATGGCAGGCGGCCCACCGCAGGCAACGGAAGCTCTTTCTGAGCTGTGAGAGTAGTGGTCCAATGCACGCATTTCGACAAGGAGAGGACGGATGCTCTGCAAAGTCGCTCCTAGCCACTTCGGATGAGTGTGCTTGTAAGTCAACACTTGCGTTCCGGAGATGACACTGTGACGGATCAATCAGCGGCCCTCGCCGTTAGCTGACTAACAACTGGAATTGACCTCGCCGTCAAAAAAACCTCTGAAGGCACTTGCCCCGTTTTCTTGGCGTGACTCTCATGCAACCAGAAGTGGACGGAAATGAGAGCTGCAACGATGAAGTCGTATCGCGTCCAGAGAACCCCAGGATTGTGGTTGCTTTATGAAATCCAGGGCAGAACTCAGTTATACGGGAGAAGATCAAGCGCACCCAATTGATTAGGCCAATACTCCGTACCAAATTCGTAATTTCTCAACATTTGCACAACCCTGCGTACCACGGGAAGGTAAGGTAAGGTGAGTATACCGATGAACATTGGAAGCGAATTGCCTCCCTCCTTGCTTTCAAGGGTTTCTGCCATGGCCAGTTGTTTCCCGTACTCTCAATTTCAAGCTCCTTCAATGCCGGTTCCATGTCTAAGAGTAAGATAGCTAAACAGGTCTCCGGAAGTCCTTTCTCAGACACTGCAGTGCAGAATCTCGATGGCACGAAGCACCTTGCGAGATATGGGCACCCTTCCTGTACTGCGTAGCCCTCTTCGGTTGGCCCAGACCCAAGGGTCCCTTCTGGAATAGATTGTTGAGCTAAAGCCATTTCCAGAACCCGGAGTGCCAAAATGTGGGGCACAATCGAACCTGTTAGGATCTGGTTAAAAGGGCTTTGCTGCGTGAAAAGCGCCACGCGGTTTGCCATATTATGACATTGCTCCGCACACAAGGAAAGGAAACGGTCAGCACCTTCATTTCATAAGGTACAAGTACGGGTACTTAAACAGCACATCGGACGAACCTCTTCAGTCGCTCAGGAAACGATGCCTAGGATTTCGTTCTTACCTCATCGCATCATCCAGTTCCTCACAAAACGATCTTGGGCGAGAGCACACCACCTCATGTCGACATCACGACAAGGTCATTTCGGTTAGGCGGCCCCCTCTTCGGCCGCGATGTCTCCGGTAACAGGATCCCACAGCAGCGGCCATGCACATAGCCGTCGCGGCTGGGACGCACAACCCGCGGGTTCGGTATACCCCGGAATTATCACAGGTATCACCTCGCCCAAGCGCTCTGCATGCAACTCCCACGGCGCCCAGTGATTGGCTCGATGCTGATCTCGGCCGGAGTCTTCGTCGCCTCTCATTCGACGTATCAAGCCGCAGTTGGATGAACGCTTCCCGTTGTGTCGGTTCAGCAAGCATACCTATAACTACTTCCACGGCGCGCATGGCGCGCACGAGCCAGCGGTTCCAGCCTCCAGGCCTCTTTTTCTTCACCAGTTATCTATAAAATAGCCTGCCTGGTAAACGGGAACGATATGCCTGCCCCGCTGTGTAACTTTCTACACTAATATTATAGCCGCCTTGATCATCTCTGACCGGTATTGTATCAATGCAAGCGGGCTGCGTTGGTGGCAAACCGGAAGAGACCCGGAAAAAAAAGGCTGCATGATCGGCCGCTGGGCCTGAAAAGACGCAAAGTGGACGTCATGTGGCTGAGGTTTTATTGGACCGTGGCTTATAGTTAGGCGCTGCCTGTCTTGTTCGTCCTGTTTTCACCCTGCTCGGCCGTTGCGTCTGTCGGCAGCGTCCGTCGCGCGTCACAGACGTTTGGGACCTCGCACAAAACATGTACCCGCAACAGGAGGGTGCACGGCATGCATGGGATCAGCTCACATTTGCAGCGCATTGCCTCGGCAGCTAGGCTGCTCTGCTGGGATTCGATATGAATCTGGGCGGCGCAAGCATTCCAGGTTGCAACCGTACCTGAGGTCCGGTCTGGCACCATCGCCAGAGACGCCAGCCCTATGGGACGGGGGTGGGAAGCCTTGAAGGCGGGTTCGTCGCCTGGACATTCCCAGCACCCGCCCAACCCACGATTCTTGGGCATTGTACTGTGTCGTACAGGTACCTGAATATAATCCGTACAGTGCAGTTATGGATATTGAACGTCTTCTATAGGAAACGATAACTAACACTGCAGTCTTGAGGATCCCTTATTGAGCTTCCAGCCATGGCGAGCGGCCTTGTTACCATATCGATCTCATACCGTCCAACTTGGTCGTGGACCCTTCAGTCAATGGGGGTTTATGCGTGCCCCCGGGGGCCGGGACATGCCGAGTGGGTTTATTAAGCGAGCGGTTAGGTTCCAGATTTGACCGCAGGCTGCGACATTTTGCCAACGGAGCATCCATGCCTCTGCGGTTGATGAACTCTCCATCAGCAGCGTTCCTTAGCTGACACCTCGCTGCTTCTCCGCGCATCAGAAATCTCCGACACCGAACCAAGTCGAAACTCGGCGCGAAAGACGCCAAGTTCATGCGCTAGAATGGGACGCAGGGGAACGGGGCGCGGGATCTTCCCCTCATGGCGCTCTGATGGGCATTATTTTTGAGCGTCGTGCCCAGTGATGTGGCATCGAGTGGAGATCGAGGAACTGTTCGCCGATTTGATTTTGGGCCTAAGACATGTTGGTATTGGTTGATTCGAACCGTTGTGGCATGGACGTCTCGCCATCACACGCATTAAAGTGCGACGCGGGCCCGGTTCATCATCCCATGTCACGGCCGTGCTCCGGTTCATTTTGGGACTCGGCGGCAGATCGCCCAGCGAGACCGACTTCTCTAAATTCACCCACCCCTACTTCCCATTTTCACCTTACTAACCGCTTCCAGTAGTGCCCCGCAACCAGCCACATCACCATCAACTGCACCACACTGTTCAATGCAACTCACTAATCCGTACGCATATTGCTATTTGCCTCTGAGCCTCCCAAACCGCACTTGAGCGATGGCATTACCCTCGCTCGCCTCGCAGCAACAGCGCTAGTGCGGAGCCGGGCGCCACATCGGGTGGGGCCGCAATCGCGGTGTCCCGGCACGGAGGCGGGTCCCGGTGTCGGTCTGGGTGGGTCCGGCACAAAGCCCACCGTGCCCACACAATTATCGAACCGATTCAGCCAGAACTGCGAGGTCGAGCGCATTTGTCAGTTCTGGGGCTTGCAATGCCGTACTTGACTTTGATGTATCCGGCAATTGAGTCGTTTGGTGTGTATGTGTGGGCGAGAAGGATGTTGGTAACTTGACGGTGGCGTGGGGCCTCAAACCGAAAGTGGTTAGTTAGGTGAGAAATAGAAAGCAGGGTGGGTGAAATTAGGGGGGTCGAGCGAGACACGAGACAACAGATTGCACCCCACGGTAGGCTGCCTTTCTTGGCGATATATCCAATCTTGACTTATTGAATGAGCACCGGAGGGCCAGCACGTGTATGATGCATGGCGGCGTCTCATTCATCAAGAGGCTCTGGAACTTTGGAAGCGCCCGAAGTTGAACAGCTGCTTTCCCTTGTTCCTGTGGTTTTGGCCCACCCAAGCTTGCCCTCTGCGGTCTGGTGAAACAAATTTCTCGAGCTTGCCCAATGGAGGTGACATCGCGTTGCGATGGTGATTGACATGGACGGCGGGAGCCCGGGCCACCCAAAGCGGCAATCAGATTTGATCGGGTCCATGTCAGATCCTTGGCAAGTACCCAGGCGAAAAGGATCAGCCTTTAGCTCTTAAGTTGCCCAATATTAACCAGGGGTATTACCTGATTGTGGTTACCACAAGATGTGGCCCAAGCGTTCTCCCTTGTGGGAGGGACTCTGGACAACCTGTTGGCCTTGATGAAGTTTTCACATTGCCTCATAGTTGCAGGGCCCTGTGCAACGACGCTGTGACCCGGTCGCAGCTTGCCGTGACAACAAGCATTGGCTACGGACGGGCACGGGGCTCCTTCTCGGAGATATACTACTCGGGACATTGCCAAGCCGGGCTCGCCTTAAGGAACGAGCTTGGGTGTGGATTTGTCTGAAAATGACGGTTGTCCTGGCGAGGCATTGAAGACAACTGGCGGCCTGCATCCTTCATCAAAGTCCAGCCTCAATCAGCGTCGATGGCTCAAACGTACAGTACCTTATGTACTATCCGGGAATAACCATCACGCAGAGTGGCCGGGAGCTTGACGGCTTGCCGGGTCTCAATTTGCCATTACTATGGCTGAAGACAAAGCGGGGAGTGCTTAACACTATTGCTCACCTCCAAGATCACATGGCGATACGGGGAGAGTGTGGATCAAACGGCACCGCTTGCCTGTCACGGTGTCCATCAGCCATGCGCAAGGTTAGCTGTCCGAGCAGCCGCAGCACTCGTCGATCCTTTTAGGGTTTCTTTCAGTCCGCCCCAAATGCAAGATGCAGGGTGCCAACTGCCCTGTCCGAAAGGCGTGCAAGTCCATCGCAAATCTCCACGCATCCAAGGCAGCCGCCATTGCCTCTGACGAGACAAGACATTTCGGCCAAGACAGCAATGTTGACGCCGGCCTGTGTGGTGGGGCGAGGCCCGTCTCCCCCGGATGTCATTTCCTCTGTTCCTGCCCGCGTGGCCGGGAAATTTGGTTCGACGCCGACCTCTTCGGTATGGGGCTTGTGACGCACTGGCGAAAACCTGGGGCTTGACGGAGTTAAAAACACAGTTGCCGATTGACTGCTGACGAACAGCATCACATACCGAAACCAGGTCTAGAACCATGAAGGGAGGAACTCATCCCATAGAAGCAACGCCCAGCATAGTTGGTACCTTACCAGTACAAATACCTAGGTAGAGTCCTTACAATTCCTTACGAACATTTCAGAGCTTCGTCGCCTTACCAGGTACGGTATATGATGTACCCCACCTGCCGGTGGACGGGACGGGAGCGGAGATGGGACGAAGCAGCCACAAAATTCCGGTAGCGACGGCAGCGCTCGCGCTTGGTCCTCGCACACTCTTCCAGATCAACCATGAACGGGCGCATTCCTGAGCCTGCTGCGAGTCCATGTTCCTAGTAACCTCTCGGACCGCCGAATCCCCGCACCGTTCAGGAGCTTCAATAGTTCCATGATGTTACAGCATGCGATGGGCGATGGCTCTCAACCGATATCATCGGCCTATCATCAAGAACTTCCTCAACACATCGAGGCTGTGGAGGTGTGGACCATCCCGATTTGCAGCGTGTACTTGCACATATGCACCATGTGCTCCCCTGGGCCGATCACACCTTGCGGGCATAGGCCACCGTTGAGAGCCATTCCCGCATTTGCCCTACCACCGCGCTTACATCACACTCCACAAGGAGGCGAGATTAAAGGGCGTTGAGATAACCAGCTGCATCTGCACCACGGACCGCCATCGCGTCGTGGTTGCGTCGCGTATCCGAAAGGGGGGGTGGTGCGGCCACCAATTCAATATGCGCCCGAGATAGAGCCCGCCCTGCGGAAATCGGATCAATCATACCGACGGCGAATATGCTCTCTCTCCGAATGCCTAATTGGTCCGGCGGCGTACGGTCTGTAGATCACCGTAACTGATCGCCAAAGCTGACACCGTCGGCGTAAGGTGCCTTGGCTTCCCAGGGCAATAGGGTTCTCTGAGCCTATTCCTCGAGAGCATTGACGACGTGCCGTCGTGCTCCCAGGATTACTTGCTACGACAATCACGACTTGACCCGGAATTCCGGATCATGTTCCTTGGAGGCGAAGAAAGCCTCGGGGCGTAGCGGGCAATCCAAGGAATTACCTGGGTGCACCACCCGCCAGACAATCTCTTGGTGTAGGTATGGTGCCACTCAACTATTGAACACACCAGGATCGCTCAGACTATGAGAGCATGGGACTATGATGTCGCCATCATCCAAGTATTTCATCAGTACTTCGCGTTGTAACTGCGTCCACTTCTGACTGAGCATCTCAGGAACTGCGACAAACCCAAGACAATAGGATTCTTTCGCAGCGTTAAAACCCGCCTTGTGTCCCGCCTTGTGATATCGCCGCCTGCATCAACAAATCAACATCTCTTGACATCGTTTCCCGCTTTCTCACATCGACCTTGATGGGATGAAGTGAAGGAGCTCTTCCCATCACGTGCCTAACATCCTCAGTGAAATCATTGCTGGAAGCTGTTAGAGAGGGTAAGTCGAGAGGCCGATTTTTGTATGGGAAATTTTGGTCGCACTAACAGCAACGAGACATTCCACAGGAGCCCTGTTAGTGACACTGCTGTGGCAACCATGTCCGGCTTACGTCGGCTTTTTTCCATCTCAATGTAACTCGGCAAGAAAGGTCGATAGAGGAGTGAAACCAGATCCAGCTGCTCAGCATCGCTGTGGCTCCTTACCGTAAAGGGGCGTCAGACTAGGAACTTGTCACTAGCGAATTCCCTCGGCAAGGAGCATATGTTCAAAACTTCCGTCTTGAGCTGCGATTAAATGAGACTGGAGTAGACGCAACACAAAGTCGAGGGCGCCCGTTTGCGGCACCTGACCACAGTTCCTGAAATATATCCCGGTTACAGCTTGAGACCACTCTCTGAATGCCTTCATCCGACGGTATTGTCGACCTGTCAGCAGACGCTGAACAGAGACAGTCAGGGGGTTAACCTCTCACCCCGTCCCAATGGGTAACGACAACTGCTCTGCCTCTTGGGTTCCAATGGTAAGCCGTACAGGTTCTGCCAATGCCCTTGAGCTCTTTCCCCGGCCTACCACCCTTGTAATAGCGTTTTGGTGAAGCGTAATAACTATCCGTAGGCGACTAGGCCGTAGACGGCTGGCAGCTCATCCGCCCGGACCCGGGAAGTTGCTTCGGTCCCAAGGCGGGCCTCTGGAAACAGAAAACAGCCCGTGCCGGTGGAGGGAGCTGGCAGCGTAAGGCGGGCTCTACCGGAGCTGCTGGAATCAGAAGTCGTTCTCACCAGATCCAAGAGTGGCAGAAACAGGCCATTGATGCGACCAGCCGCTACGGGCCTTGGAATTCGACCATTATATGCCAATGAACGATCTTAGTGGTGTCGGTGCCTTGGCAATCCAAAGGCCAGGCAACACAGGAGCTACAGTCATCCAGCGTGGTCTCGTGTCACGCGTGAGCTGGAACACATAGTACACTGACTGGGGGAGGCGCACACGACATTCCAGCCGAACAAACATCTGCGAATCGGGACATTTTTCCTGTCCTCGACATGGAACGAGATCGTAAACGGTGCTAGCCATTGGCCGGTTGGCCGTCAGTTTCTACCTCCAAAGCTGCTACAGCTTAGGAACTAACGTTGAGCCGGAAACACATGCCATAAGCTCTCTCATTTGAGCAAGGGACTTGTCCTTAGGTCGTGATTCCCCTCTCCTAGCCCGGAATGGTTCCCACTCTCTGCTTTGGTGTCAACACCGAGCAGCTAGACAAGCCATCGAGCCGAAACCCGTGACAGTCCCAGCATTACACAGGATATGATGTCTGAGCCTCGGCTTTCGGAAAGGGGCCAAGCTGCAGGCTCCCGTCTTCCACCGTGGCACAAGCCACACACCAGATCTAGTGCGACCATGTCGGGGTCTGCGACAAACGCTATCCGAGACATTCCGGGACGCACCATGATTTGTTAATCCTCGAATTCAGTCTTGATCTCCTCTAGGCCCCTTTCTCGTTGCGGGAGTGGCCTCACCGCGTGGGAAGCAGCAGAGGGAGAGATAGGTTGAGGATGCAAGGAGGCGTCACTGTGGCCGAAGGGAGAAGAGAAAAACATTGCACGTATTAGGGGGGAGACTGATGGTCCCTCAAATGTGATTGGTATGGTTGGATGGAAAGGAAAAAATAAGGGAGAAAGGGGTAAGTAAATACACACCAAAACAGAACCTCTCTGCTTATGCACCACCCTCGTACAGAACAGTGCTATGAAACTGACTGACTGAAAACGACTCGCTTAACCGCATCCAAAACAAGCGGCCCTTACCACCACACCAAGACACGCAGCGGACATGTCTGGAACATAGCGCCGGCAACATCGTGCTACACAGCGCAACCCACCCAACCTCAATCGGGCGGGACGCCAGCCCCGCAAGGAACCCGGAAACAAAAGAGACGACGACTGCAGAGCCCAGAGTAGTGTAACTAAGCCACCCGCCGCCTGCCATGCAGCACAACATCGCCCTGTGTTCCCCCAACCGCCCCGCTAGCAAAACGGCGGACAATGAACCGAGAGTGCTCGGATCTGTCTCACAGTCCCTTCTCTTTACAGCCGGCTCTGCAGTTTGGCATGTTCATGCTCGCCAGGCCACCGACCGTCGGGCCAGACGTGGCGAATGGCTTCCCAGATGTGGCTGGTTTCGCTCCAGCGTCAGCGATCCCTTCTTTTACACGGAATCTTCTTCCAATTAAAGAAACAATCATACCTGACATGGACAACCTCCAGCCCATTTCTCACTTCCTGGGGCAGATCCTTAACGTCCTTGCGGTTCTGGGCCGGCAGTAGCACCGTCTTGACACCCGCCCGGAGGGCTCCAATCAGTTTCTCCTTGATGCCTCCGACGGCCGTGATGCGCCCGCGCAGGGAGATTTCGCCCTGTTGTGTTGTGAAACGAATGGGATGCGGTGTCAGCCGGGAGGCGGTTCCAGAAGTTGAACAGTTGAAACGGACGTAAGGGATAGACACCAAAAAGTAAACGCTGCATGGAAAGGGGGGAGAGAAAAGGAAGGATTCCAATACACAGGAGGGCTGGAAACGGGGGAGAACATTGGGGGAGTGACTTACAGTCATAGCCATTGTAGGCGGCACCGCCCTCCCAGAAAACAACGAAATCAAGGCAATGGCCTGGGCAATCCCGCTGCTGGGCCCGTCCTTAGGAATGGACCCCGAGGGACAATGCACATGGATGCTCCGGTCCTTCATGATATTCACGTTGGAGCTCTGCGTCAGGCCCAGCTCGAACGCGTGCGCCTTCACCCAGGTTAGCGCCACCTCGACGCTCTCTTTGAGGACGTCGCCCAGCTTGCCCGTCAGCTGGACCGTACCCGTGCCGGGCATGTCGGCCACCTCGATGAAGAGAATGCTGCCGTTACCGCCGGAGCTGTACGCCACCAGGCCCGTGACGATGCCCGGCCGGCTGGTCTTCTCCGCGATTTCCTCCTCAAACTTCTCGATGCCGAGGAAACGCTCCAGATCATCGACACTGAGACGAGGATTATATTTCTCCAGGTGGCCCTCGTCCTTGGCGTCGGCAAACTCGACTGCCTTGCCGCGCAGGACCGACGATATTTCGCGTTCCAAGTTGCGTACCCCTGCCTCGCGGGTGTAGGATTCGATGATCTTGGAGACGACCTCTTCTGTGAAGACGACCTGGTCCTCGCTCAGCCCGTTCACGCGGATCTGCTTGGGCACCAAGTGCCGCATGGCAATGTGGCGCTTCTCCAGTGTAGTGTAGCCAGGCAAGTAGATGGTCTCCATGCGGTCGAGCAGCGGTGGCGGGATCGTGTCCAGAGTGTTCGCGGTAGCGATGAACATGACCTTGCTCAGGTCGATGGGGACGTTGACGTAGTGATCAGTAAAGGTGTGGTTCTGCTCGGGGTCTAGCACCTCGAGCAGTGCTGCTGACGGGTCCCCGTGAACGCTAGAGCCGCCCACCTTGTCTATCTCATCGAGCAGGAAGACGGGGTTGGCCACGCCTACCTTCTTCAGACCCTGGACGATAAGACCCGGCATGGCGGCGACGTAGGTGCGGCGGTGACCCCGAATCTCAGCCTCGTCGCGAACGCCGCCCAGCGAGATGCGATGGAACTTTCTTCCCAGAGCAATCGCTACGGAACGTGCCAAACTGGTCTTGCCGACTCCTGGAGGCCCGACGAGCAACAGAATCGGGGACTTGTCCACCATGCGCCTGCTGCGCAGCACTTCTAATTTGGCACTGGGAACTTTGATCTTCTCCTCGGCGCTAGGTTCTGGTGAGGATGTCTCGGGCTTCTCATCTTTGCTTGCATTCCCTGTCGCCCCAATTTCCTCCTCAGCCTGCTTGATCTGCGCATCCACCTCGTCGTTGACGGACTGCTTCAGTCTGAGGACAGCGAGGTACTCCAGCAGCCGCTTCTTGACTTTTTCCAGCCCGTAATGATCATCGTCCAGTTGCTTCCGCGCCCTATGGAGCGTCTGAGGGCCCAGGCGGTCGTCCGTGGTCGTTGTCCAGGGAATCTCGGCCAGCGTTTCGAGGTATGTTCGCGTGACAGCGTACTCAGCCTGTGCAGGGTGGATCTTCCTCAGACGTTTAATCTCCCTGTCGACGACCTTTGCGGCCTCGGGGGAAAGTTTTGCGGCGTCAAGTTTCTTCTGCAGCTCGTCAACTTCGTTGGGCTCCTGGTCCTCGTCCGCATCGCCGCCTGAGTCCCCAAATCCGGGCGGCGGTAGTGTGCGTGTCCCCGCCGGACCGATTTTTATCGACGGCCGTGGCTTGTTTGGCTGGATCATTTTGTCGATCTGCTTCCTGGTCGAGTCAGGATCGGCAAACGGCAACGTCGTAGTGGTGACGGCGGTGATTTTTATGTTATTCTTGATGTTGCCGACTTGGCGGTCGAGCAGCTCGATGACTTTGGCAACTCGTTCCTTGACGTCCAGCAGCGCCAAAACCTGAAGCTTCTCCTCGTACGAGCTCTCGACGATGTTCGCCATGAAGTCTGCGAGAGCGCCCGGCTGCTTCTGCTTTGTGATGAAGATGTCCAGACGGCGGGCGAGCAACGGCGACAAGCCGGGTGTGCCATTCAAGCGTGGGAGGATCGATGACAGCCTAAGTATCGCGACAAGCTCCCTGGACAGGAGCTTCAAGTGTTGGAAGAGCTCCTCAAGTGTCAAGTCCACAAGGCTGCCTTCCTCTTGGAAGTACACAACCCGGCCCTCCAGATACGGTTTCTCTTGGTAGATTTTGTCGACCCGGACACGCGTGACACCCTCGACAAGCAGAGTGAACTCTCCTGTACCGCGTCCCTCAACGCCTGTTATCTTCGCCGCGACACCCCAGCCAAAGAGGTCCGACTTGGATGCCTTTGCCGGGTCGAGATTATCTCGGTCGGGGCTGACAGCTTTCTCCCCGTTCTCAATCAGGAACTGTCCGCTGGGACCCAGAATAGGCGAAGCGAGGGGAACGCAGGAAATCGGTACCGTGTCGATGCGGCCGTTGGGTGTCTTGGACGCAGCACGGGTGTAGACAGCGGCAAGCAACGAGGCGATATCGGGGCGATTTGACGAGACGGGGATGCGCTGGACGACGCCGGGTAGGAGCACGCTTCCCCGCGGAAGCGCGATGACGGGAAGAGTCGCCGTCTGTGTGCGAGTCATTGGAGTCGTGTTCAATTGAAGGTCACGGGTTGCAAGTGAGTGACTTGTGCGATGCGCAACCAGCCAAAGACGAGTCAGATGCTCGCGCAGGAGTGAGAGGTATCAAGTTAAAAACAAAGCGAAGTTTATTTCCTCTGGCTTGGGATCAGCTCCCACCATCGAACCTGAAGGAATGCCGGTTAAGAAACGGAACGGAAGTTCGGGTTTGGCGATGGTCAGTGAAGGGATGCCTTTCTGCCGAGGCTAACGCGATGCAAGAGGTGGCTGCTCTAGGGTGTGAGCAGGGTGTGAGGTGAGCGGCCCCAGATCGAATTGCCGGCGGCAAGTTGCGGGCAAGGGACCCGCTCTGATTGCCAAGTCCCCACTCGCCGAACGACAACATGTGATTGACGATTGCTGTGATAGAAGCTTCCATCTGACCTCGACTGCTCGCAAAAGAAGCATGGGTGGAACAAAACAAACATGCCAGCGCTGACCGGAGAGACAGGTACCTGCATTTGATCAACTTTGTTAGTGAGGCCAGGAATAATGCTGCCAAAATGATCCTCTCGACTACCACCTCTAACAGCTGCCCTTGGGTCCATTTTATTTTCACCACCATGAGTTGCGCAGCACTGAGTTGCAGCCCTCAAACAAGAACGTCGTGGGTCTCCTCATTTGCGGTGTCGACTCCAAGTAGCCCTTGAACAAGGTATTCATCCTGGCTGCTATGGGGTTTCGACAGGCTCGCCGTTGTAACCACAACTTACACACACCTCCGTTCTCAAACGATTGTGAGTCGGGCTTTCGGCATTGATGTACCAGCATCTGCGATACTCAGAAACAAACCCAGCTCATTCCGCGACAGTCTTATTCAAACTTCGCGGACATACAGCTTTGCTGTAAAACTAAACTAGCTTACCCAGTCAATCCAAGCAGTAACCTGGTATCTCAGCCCCAGTCCGCAAAAACCACATGACACATCTCGCCTCCTTACTATCGTCTTCTTCTTCTCGACTGGCGATTACATGACAGCTCAATTCTCGTTAAGCGTTTGAAGCACATCATCTTCTGCCAGTAAATGTACACCCATCTCTGTTCAAACATGCCCAGATACCAGGCGACGCCATACACGCCATGCAAAATTCACCTCGCGTCGAACCCTTCAAAACATCACAGCTTAGCTGTGAAAAGGGAGCAGAAAAAAAAAAGGAAATGACACTTCACACCAATCACAACCCCGGCGTCTGCGGCCTGGGCTGATGGCCCAGCGGTAGAAAGCCCCCGGTCACCTTAGGCACCCCCTGCTGAGGAGAGCCCCCACCCGCCACAAGAGACGTCGAAGCAAAAGGAGGCGCAGCCTCCTGCTGCTGCTGCTGTTGTTGTTGTTGTTGCTGCTGCTGAAGCAGGTGGAAAGGAAACCCGCCGTCGCGGGACCTGCCGCCCGTCATGCGGCGCACGCGCGACCGGGTGCTCTGCGTCAGCGGGCGTATGACATTTTCCAAAAAAAAGGATCCGCTCGGGCCCTCGTCGCTGGCCGTGATCGGTCGCTCGTCGTCGCCGTCGGAAAAGACGTCATCTAGGAACTCGTCGTCCGACGTCACGTCGCCTGCGCCACCCAACTGCGCGTGGTACGAGGCTGGCGCCGAGGGGGACGTGACCGAGCGGGCGTGGAGACCGGGACGGTTTGGCGGCGTGACGGTTGTGATGGTGGTTGGCGTCATATGGCTGCTGTTGCTGTGATGATTGGTGTGGTAGTTGCCCGGCGTGCCACTGGCCCCGATGTTGAAGGCGCCTGGGTTCATCGTGTTGTTGGCCCCTCCAACTCCGCCCGCTCCCTCGCGTGGCAGGAAAATGGGCCTGTCGGCAAAGCCATTTTGGAAAGACATGCTGCTATTGTTGGATGCTTGGTGCAGAATGGGGAGGATTTGCTCCTCGTACATCTGCGCACCGGACTCGAACGTGTCGGGAGAGAATTCTGTGACCGTCCGTGAAGACCGGCCGTCGCTCGGCGGGCTCGTCGACAGGTCGTCGAAAAAGTCGTCCAGGCTATCAAGCTTGGAGAAGAGATCTCCCATGGGCGCGTCGATCCGCACGTCGTCCGACATCATCGTGTCGGCCCGATCGCCAGAACCTGGGAAGTACCCATAGGGAAAGTCGTCTGTGTGGAACTCGACTTCGGGTGTCATTGCCGGTTGCGCAACGAACCCTTCGTCGCTCTGGCACATGTAGAACGCTGCGTGAATATTGGCCCGTGTCGAGTCCGTCTTCCGTGCGGGCATGGGAATAGCCCACCCGGATGCTTCGGGAATACCAAACAGGCTCTGCGTTCGTTCGTACTCCTTGCGGACTGCCTTCGATGTGAGCCGCGTCATGCTCATGCGGAGATGGTGCTTGTCCATCGACGATCCCGACATAGACATGATGTTGTCCAGCACTTCCAGAGCCTCCATGCAGTACTCGGTTTGCAACAACCGCAGGAGCGGTGAGATCATATCGGAGCCGTGGCTGGCAATCTCGGGCTTCTTCATGTCCACCTCGGGGATAACCACACGGAGGATGCGCATCGTCTTGATCTTGACCCATGAAGTCGCGTTGGTAAGGAACCCCATCAGCATGGTGATCATTGGGAAGTCCAGCGCAGGCAGGAACCGTTCCCGGAGCGCCGAAAACAGTTGACCCACAAAGTCTTCTCCAGACAAGTATTTGGATCCAAGATAGTTGTCCAGTACCACCGCCATGCTCGTCATTCCCTGCTCGTCCGCAGCTGCCATGAGTGTTTCAGCCGCCTGTATGACGCCTCGATCAAGGGATTTCTGATCGATGGCATGCAAGAAGCGGGGCAGGTTGGCGATGGCCGTGAAAAAAAGACGGCTGTCGTCGCCAACCAGGGCATCACTGGGCAGCCGGATGAGCTTCTCGAGCGTCTCGAGCGTGAGATCGAGGCACGCCGAGGACCGCAGCCCTTTGTACAGCAGGGGCTGCAATCCTTCGAAAGACCCATCCCATTTGGAGGGCTGACCATCGTACAGCAGGCGCCGCACCGGGGGAGATTGAAAGTCAAGTTTGTTGAGGAATTCGTTCAGCATCTCAACCGCCTCAAGGAATTCGCATTCGTTGATGGATTCGAGACAGGCGCATGTGGTCCAGAAAAGCTGAGGAAGAGCCAGTAGTTTGTCAGCGTCGAGCTTCAGGATGAGCGATTTGAGTGTGGTGAGAATCTCCATGGAGAAAGTCTGGATCTCGGCGTCTTCGTCCGCGATGGTGTTGGACAGGCGGGCAAGCATGTCCCCCAACATGTACTGGTCAAGCGACGTCAGGATGCACCTGAAGATTTGGAAAGACCGGCAAGCAAGATGCCTCACTGGACAGGACGTCGCCCAGGTGAGGGAGAGCCTGCCCCACTGATCCTTGATCCCAGGAAAGGTAAGCTCGAACATGTTTACGACCTCGGCCGTCAGATATTCCATGCTGGGAGGCACCTTGTTGTCGTGGCCGTCCACCTTTCCATTGCTGTCCTCGTATCCCCACACAACGGATCGGTCGTGGCGACGGATAGCATCAATCAAGTTTTCAATCCGTTGCTTGGTGGTTGCTGGCGTGTCGTCGTCAAGATTGGAGATGACAAGTTCATGAATAAGATGCACCAGCATCTCTCGGGCTTGTTCTTGAACAAGCGGCGTGTAGTGGTCCCAAAGCACTGTGACCACTTGTAGCAGGACAGGAACACTGTCCGCGGCGAGGCTGACAGGCGCCACCATCAGGTCCACAAGCAGGATGAGAGACAGCTGGCCTAGAGAGAACCCAGCTTGCTTTGTTCCAATGGGCAACGCTTCCGAGAGATCCGCACAATACGGAAGCACATTGATGTCGGGAGGAGGCGGGATAACCTCGCGCTTCTCGTTTGGCACCATAGCCTTGGGGGTGATCTGGAGCAGCAGGAACTCGACCACCTTGTTGCCCGGTGTGCTGTTCGTGCTCGCGAGAAATACGACAATCTGTTTGGCATATTCGACGAAGTTCTGCTCCCTTCGTTCTAGACACAGTGAGATGATAAAGTCCAGAATGAGCCGCACGTTCCCAAGATACGGCCCTGTTGCCAACGCTTGCCATAGCGCCTGTACCTCATTATGCAGCGCCGCGCTGGACTTGATTGTGATCTCGAGCAGATTGGCCAGGAGCACATACGACTGCGCAATGGGCCCTCCGTTCGGATCTACTTTGAGCTCGACCGCCTGGATCCATGGGAGGATAACGGCGATGACGTTCCGCTGGGCGGCGGCTTGCTGCTCCTTGAAGTAGAAGGTGAACTCCGAAAAGATGTGGAAGGCCAACTCGGTGTGCTGCTTCGCCAGCCGCTTCGAGATTTCGAACTGAGCGAGCTTATAAACTGCCTTTGTCTTGTCCGAGATGCTGATGTCGAAATCCTGAATCTTTGAGCTCCGAGGTTGTGACTGTCGTTCTTCGAGTGCCTTGAGGAGGTGCGCGGCTCTGGACCGAATGGCGCTCTGGTCATTGCCCAGCATAAAGAGACAGAGGCCAAGCAGCTTCCAGAACGGGGTGGGATACTCGGGATGCTCCAAGAGAACGTCTGTCACCGCACTGAAGTAGCTCTCCAGCATGGCCGAGGCCTCGGAGAGATAGCACCGCGAGATGCAATGCTCGAGCAAATAGGGATATTCTTGATTGTGGACAATCAAATTCTTAAGTGCCCTCCTGCCGATCACGTTCATGCGGTCGCTACCCGAATTGAAAATGGCCTCGATCCAGGCAAGCATTCTTCGAACATCGAACTGGAGGGACGCACCACTCTCTGTGGTTGCGCTGATGGGCCCGCCACACAGCGCAGCCATGGCGCTCAGAGCGGCCGTTCGCAGGTTTCTCTTCTCAATCTCCATAGCCGCCGTCACTGTCCCTCGTTCGCCCGCAGTCTTCTGATCAATGACCGACTGCCTCATGTTGTCCTCTCTTTGGCGGATCTGGAGCTGGTTGGGCGAGAAGCCGCACCAGTCCTCCATCAGGGCAAAGGCAGATTTCCGGGCTTCGAAGGTCATCCACCGTGATGGATCCTTTGTCCGATTGATGCCCTCGAAAAGCTCCTCCATCAGTCCACAGTAGTGGCGCCTTAGTTTTTGGAACTCCCAGTCCATCTGAACCTCGCCGTCCATCAGGAACAGCTTCAGATCCTTCGCGTACGCCACCAGATTGTTCAACACCCAGTCGTCTTGGTAGACCTGGGCATCTCTCAAAAAATGCGAGGTCAACTTGTAGACGTGCGTAATCTCCGTCCGTAGAATGTCCATCTTTCGGTTCCGGCGCGGACTGCTGTTCGTACGCTGATGAATGCGCTGCCGCGCGTCGTCGTTGCACCGGGACACCTGTCCCTGCAGCTCCTCAAGCAGCGTCCGATAGATATGGATGTTTATCGAGCCCATGGCAATGACCACCGCCTCCCTGATCGGCGCGGATGAAACCGAGAGCATGGGATTCAGGTACTTGAAGAGGGTCCTTGCCGAACCAATCTTTTCGGCCGCCGAAGACGACTTGGAACCTCGCTGGCCGTGCTGGCCATTCTGCGCTCCGCTCGCCTGTGCGCTGCCGGGATCTGCGAGCGTGGTGCAAGCGAAAACGAGGTACAACTTCCATTGCTCGATGACCACCTCCGGGTGCGTTGTGGGCGTCTTGCCCGTCATACGAGCACTGCTGGGCTCCGCGTAGAACTGCCCTCGAGGCTCCCGTGGCGGTTCAGAAAGTACCGTGATGACCTTGTACAGCTGAAGGATCCGCTCGCAGACAAGGTCACGACTGAGCGTGATGGCGAAAGGGCACTTGTCGAAGGCAATGCGGATGAAGTTAGGGAAGATTTTGAACCACAAGGTCGTGTCGTACGAGACGTCGCTGGTACAGAGCTCAATGAGGGCCCCTTGGCTGTTGGTGTTCTGCATCCCGCGCTGCAGTCTGCTCCGTTCTGCTACGGAGAGCTGCTCGTCATTGAAACTCATCACCTGCATCGAGTCGTTCTCGAGAATATCTATGAGTCTCGGGGTATCCTTCTCGCGACCGCTAGGCTTTCGGAGGACTGCGTCAAACTCGGTGATCAGGCGCAGCACGTTGACTGCATAGTACCGGACTCGTCGAGACTGGGAGCAAAGAAAAAACAGCCCGTGAGCTTCTACTTGGTCGACCTCAGCCCAGACACTAGACAAGTCGAGCTTGATGCCCCTCTTTTCGGCGACGCTGGATTCGCCGCTCTCGTCCGCGGCGTTTCTGGTTTTCTGTTTGATCTCCTCGATCCATATGTGGAGAAGTTCGATGTACAACATCAGGGTCTTCTCAATGTGTCCGGGCCCCAGCATTCCGCCGTCCGACATGGTAGAGTAGCGGTCATCAAAGTTGAAGATGAAGCGCGCAAACCCCATCGTCACTTGATGGGCGTGGGACTGACGTGCGATGGCTTTCAGGGACTGGGCAGATGACTCGGCAATGTTATTTTGCACGTGTGCCGTTCCGGTGCAGAGAAGGTTAATTAGCGTGTTGAAGGGTATGTCGGCTGATAGACACCGGGGAAGAGCCTGGACAGCTACATGAAGAAGCTCGTAGAAGGCTTGCTTCTGGTCATGCGGGTTAGGATGGTCCTCCCTTCGAGAGAAATTGAACGTCTCGGCGATGGGCGTTTTGGGTCCCGGGCTGTTAAACTTTTCCATCTTATCAAACTTCTCATCCAAAGCTGCCTGGCCACCAAATGTGTTGTCGCAGATGATGCTGATCTTGCCAAGTATTTCGCAGAACCTGGCGTAGTATTCCCTGACGCTATCGGAGAGCGCCGAGACCAACACTGGCCGGAAAAGTCGTTCGCCGCCCGACAGAGCAGCCCAGGCGGCCGAGGGAGAGTCGCGGGGCGAACCGAAGACGGGAGACGTCGGAGGCGCCCGTTCAGCGAAGGAGGGTGGCGCGTACGACTGCGGGAAGGGGGGTCTGCCCTTGTCGCCCTTCTCGAGATCCGACATGATGGTGAGAAAGGCCCTGATGCCGACGACTATTCTGTCCGGATCCAGCTGCTCGATCCTGAGTTCTTTGTTGGATGTGAAGAGGTCGGCATTGACCAAAGGAAAGATGATGGTTCGGAAGCAGTATTCTGGGTGCTTGTACCCAACAAATCGGATGATTTGAATCAAGGGGTCAATGGCGGCAGTATCCATGGCGACCAGAGTCCTCTTGGTGTGGGGAAGGACCATCTTCAGAACCTCGTCTAGTTTCCTAGTCATGCCCGAGGAACTGTCGCTGGTTCGGTAGAGATATGTCCAGAGCAGCCTGGAGATGACTTGCAAGCAGAGCGGGCGAGTGTAACGGTCTTTGAGTCGCGGCTGAAGCGGGTAGATCAGCTGGAGCCACTGACTGACAAACGTGTCCGGTGGCGAGACGCACAGCATGGTGGCCGTCAGAGGAAAGGTGTAATGCCAATGCCTCGGCTTAACAAACATCTGGGCCAGCCGTGGCCCAACCATGGCCAGGACTTCGTTCCACTTTGGGTGCGCAATATCACTGTTGGAAGCCTTGGCCGCTACGGGAAGCACAAGCATCTCGAGGACTTGGCAGAATGCCGATTTCACCTTGGGGCCATGAGATCGACTGAACAGCTTCCCCAGCGAGGCCATGAACTCACAGGACCGGTCCCAGGCATCTTCTGGTGTGGTTTTTACGTGGAGATGCTTCATTCCACCCAACACAAGCTCCACCTTGTTCTCAAGGTCCCGGGCCGAGGATGTCGGGTTCTTTGCGGCCAACTCTTGCAATAAGCGGTCGAGGTCGGTGATGAAGCGGTCAGTCACGGTTGCGAAGCTAATTTCGCTCATGGCGCCCATCAGCTGGGCGAAAAGGTTCCAGTTGGATAGCTTTAGCGGCGAGACCATCAGTTGTTCCGTGTCGGATATCTTTAGCTGCCCAAAGATGATGTTCTCGAGTTTGTCCTCCATTTCTGGCGTGATGGAAGGCAGTGTGCTCTGCGTAAGGACCTCGAGAAGGACGCGGCAGAGGAGGTAGATGGACACTGTTGATCTGCGCTCCGCCTGAGCTACGTATTCCTGCTTCGCAGCCAGGGACATCTGCCCGCCAGGGTGAGCCTCCGAAGCGGCGCCCGCGGCGGCCGGCTGCACCGGTTCTGTGTTCCGCCTCTGCAACGGTCCCGAAGGAGGATAGATTCGAGACTGCTGAAGTTGGGCCCGCGCCTCGTTGGCTGCATCGCTCTTGCTCTTCCTCCACAACATCATCGAGTCAATCAGCGGCTTAGGCTTCTGCTTGGCGATGTGCCCAAGAGCCACAATGAGCTGATCAAAGGCCGGGTCTGCCCCCGGACCGCATATTTGCTCAACCTGAGGCTCCGGCTCGAATGGCACCGTGACGCACTCGTTTAGCTTCTCCTCAGCCTGGGCGATGAAGGCCGTAAAGAGGACGTGGAGGGCGTACTCGCCGACTGTCTTTTGCTCGTCTTTTTGGTGTCGCGACGGGTGCGAGTGGTTGTGAACGTGGTCCCGCCGGGTCTTGCCGCTATGTTTCCTCTCCATCTTGACCCGGGCCGACATGTGACCGCCGATCTCGCCTGCGGCGGCCGAGGATGATCTTTCGTGGAGGCTTGACAGTGACGCGAGAGTCGTCCCGGACATAGCGGTAGGGGGGCGTTGGCCCAGCGAAGCATCGCCGTCGAGGCGTGGAAAGGGCTGCATCTCTGCCCTGTCCGGCGTCAGGCCGGCGCCGGCCGCGGCGATCATTTGCGGGCTAAGGGGACTGGACGAGGAACTGGCAAGGCTCCCGTTCCTGGAGTGGTGGATCCCAATGCCATGGACAATTGATGTTTGCCTATGATGCCCATACGTGGATGCTTTGGGGTCAACAACCCGCTCTATCACACCCCCGATGGCGCTTCGATTGGACGGCACATGGGATCGAGGGGGCGGGAGTTGTGTGGTGAGATCGGGGGGACGTGGGAGCTTCTCGATGGACGACTCGCGCGAGTGTACAACGCTTCTGGAACCCAGGGCAACGGGGCGTATGGTCTGTTGCCAGTCGTCTTCATCCTCCTCGTCGAGTCGAGAAACGGCGCGAGGGGAGAACTTCAGCGGCTCGTGGTCCGGCAACGTCGTCTGGGACGAAGCTGTGGGATGGTCAGTACGGCAGTCCCAAGTAGAAAGAAGCTCGCGACCGATGCACAGATATCACCCCACGACATCTCCCTAAACGGATGGCACATCCTCATGGCCCGACACCTGACTCTCTTCGAAAGCCATGTGGAGTCCAGCTGAAACTGAACGAGGGGCGAAGCCGGAGAGGCGGCGGCGACTGGTGTGAGAAGCTCCGGCGCCGAGCAGCTTGACCACGCTGCAGACCTTTCTCGTCCGGAACTCCACCGCCAGCGGCCAAGGCTGGGAGAACCTAAAGAATGGAATGCGCTTGTTGCGACTCACCCATTGTCCGCGAGTACCGACTTGCATGATCCTCCTCCCAGCAGCAAGTATGAGATGCCGCAGCTTCCTGGAAGTGATAGAGAAAGCAATTTGGAAAGACACTGTCGCGGTGGACAACAACGCTCAACTTTGCTGTCCCACTTGCTGGCAGTTGAGATCGATACCTTACCTGGGATGTACATGTGCGATCGCGCGATACCAGATGTCGCCAGGGGTCATACTAGGTGCCCACAGTGCGTTTTCTCCACTTTGGTATGGCGGCCGCCGGAACAATTTTTGGGCTTGATCGTCCGGAAACTCAGGTAACTAAGATATCCGTACCTTACAATACAGCACATTTCAACACATTGACATGCGATTTCGCGCCTCAGTGTGGCAACGACGGGAGGTCAAGTATGAGGCGAAATCTTTTCCAACTCTCTGTCACCGACTTGGGGGCTCTTGGTGGTCTTGCGCAGGCACCCTACTTCGTATCCCCAACCTGAGTTAAGAGACATTGGCAAGGTCTCGACAGCAGACTGAGTCGCTCAACCTGCTTCGCCATCGCCTGAGTCCTGTTTGCGATCAACAACGTCCGATGGCAGCTGGAGCCTGTCTCTAGATCGCTGTGACATAAGGTTTCATACGTTTATGTTCTGTATGGCGACCGCTTCCCGCCTGTTCCAAACGAACCTTTGAAAGGTAACATCTTCTACTGTACGGTCCGAGTCCCGCATCGTCCAAGCCGATCCCCAGTGCACTCATTTTTTGTACTCTCTCCAGTTGCCGGCATTCGCTGCAATTATCCCAACTGTGCTCTGTCAAGATGGGTGCATTGAAGCAGCTCAACAAACTAGTAGTAGTCCGTACGTATGAGCAGGCTCTGTTAAGCGGCTCACGATGAACTTTCGTATGCAATCTGTGCAACTGTCCGTTGAAGGATGAGTGGGTACTCCGTAAGGTACACCGAAGCGAGCTGAATCTTACTATACTCTAATTCGAGGTACTGTATTTTGCAGCTTGGGCGCTTCCATTGGCAAGCTGTGCCGGCGGTTTCTGTCGGGGGGTTTCTGTAACTTCTGGCGGGAAACCGACTGTGCCGTGGTGGCGCCACAGATTGAGGAAGATTGCATGTGGTTTATCTGTCCAGTGTCAACATCTGCCTCTGTCAACTGGAGCAGATCCCCTTTGGTCTTCACCTCTGGGCTTCGTTCACTCCGTCCGCCTTTCCGCTCTTTCCCGTTAAATCTTGTCCTTCTTTCCAGGCGCATAGGTATCCCGTTGCTTCCCAGCACGTGGCGGCCTAGCGAATTTGCAACCACAGCATTGTCGCACTTTTGTTCTCCGCTATCTACTACTTGCTCGCCGTTCCAGTCTGTTATCCAGGTTTCCTTGCTTCGGACTTCAACCTTTTCGCGCGCGACGCCGATCGGAACCGCAACCTTTTCGCGGTTAACGTTTCCCGCCAACTCATCGGACCCGATCCCCCGGCCACTGCAACCTGCGAGTGGAGTGACGGGCTGTACTCGGCCGGATCTCGGAAGTCGCCAGACAGGTCGCTCTCTCGCGCTCGAGGCTCAAATTGTCGGTGGATCAAAACCAACAAGGCCGCCGTCTGTCACCACTTTTCCCCAGACGACTCCTTGAACAGTTTCTGCCTTGGGCTTTGATCACATTCCGTCACCATGGCTGGAGTCGATGTCACGGACTTTATTGTCCTTGCCGCCATCCTCATTGGGACGGTGGCCTACTTCACCAAGGGCAAGTTATGGGCCGTCAAGAAGGACACCTACAGTGCGAGCCAGCTCGCCGCCGCCAATTACCTCAGAAAACCGGGTAAGACGCGGAATATCATTGAGAAGATGGAGGAGTCGGGCAAAAACTGCATCATCTTCTTCGGGTCGCAGACTGGGACCGCTGAGGACTATGCGTCGAGACTTGCAAAGGAGGGCAAGAGCCGTTTTGGCCTCGAGACCATGGTCGCTGATCTTGAGGACTACGACTACGACAACCTCGATGCCATCCCCAGCGACAAGGTCGTCATGTTTGTTCTCGCGACCTACGGCGAAGGCGAACCGACCGACAACGCAGTCGAGTTCTACGAGTTCATCACCTCCGAGAGCCCGTCCTTCAGTTTCGACAACGACCCTCCCCTCGGTAACCTGAACTATGTCGCATTCGGTTTGGGCAACAACACGTACGAGCACTACAACTCGATGGTTCGCAACGTCAACAAGGCGCTGGAGAAGCTCGGCGCTCACCGCATCGGGGAAGCTGGCGAAGGCGACGACGGCGCTGGTACCATGGAAGAAGACTTTTTGGCTTGGAAAGATCCCATGTGGAGAGCTCTAGCCGAGAAGATGGGCCTGGAGGAGCGCGAGGCTGTGTACGAGCCCATCTTTGGAATCGTCGAGAAGGAGGACCTCACTCCCGACTCGCCCGAGGTCTACCTTGGGGAGCCCAATAAGATGCACCTCAACGGCACGGCCAAGGGCCCCTTCAACGCGCACAACCCTTACATTGCTCCCATTCGTCAGTCCTACGAACTTTTCAAAGTCAAGGACCGCAACTGCCTGCACATGGACATCGATATCAGTGGCGCCAATCTCAGCTATCAGACCGGTGATCACGTCGCGGTTTGGCCCACCAACGCCGGCGAAGAGGTCGACCGCTTTTTGGATATCTTTGGCCTCACCAGCAAGCGCCACAATGTCATCAGCGTCAAGGCCCTGGAGCCCACTGCCAAGGTGCCTTTCCCGACCCCAACCACGTTCGACGCCATCGTTCGCTACCACATGGAGATCTGCGCGCCCGTCTCCCGCCAGTTCATCGCTACTCTTGCTGCGTTTGCGCCTGACGACTTGGCAAAGGCCGAAATGACCAAACTTGGTAACGACAAGGATTACTTTCACTCCAAGGTCAACGCTCAGTATCTCAACATTGCTCGCCTCTTGGCCATCGTCAGCAAGGGCAAGAAGTGGACAAACGTTCCGTTTTCTGCGCTGATTGAAGGCATCACGAAGTTACAGCCCCGGTACTATTCCATCTCGTCCTCCTCTCTGGAGCAGCCCAAGATGGTGTCCATCACAGCGGTGGTCGAGGCGCAGCATCTTCCAGGCCGTGGAGATCCTTTCAGGGGCGTGTCGACGAACTATCTCCTGGCGCTCAAGGAAAAGCAGAACGGCGACCCCAATCCGACTCCTTTTGGTCTTAGCTACGAGATCACAGGGCCCCGGAACAAGTACGACGGCATCCACCTCCCAGTCCATATTCGCCATTCCAACTTCAAGCTGCCTTCAGATCCCACAAAACCCATCATCATGGTCGGTCCCGGCACCGGTGTCGCTCCGTTCAGAGGTTTTGTTCGCGAAAGAAAGAGGATGGCCGAGAACGGCCAGGCAGTTGGCAAGACCATTCTCTTCTTTGGCTGCCGGAAATCAACCGAGGACTTCTTGTATGAGAAGGATTGGGAGGAGGCCAAGCAGGTGCTCGGCGACAAGTTCGAGATCGTCCTCGCCTTCTCTCGTGAAGGACCCAAGAAGGTCTATGTGCAGCACCGGTTGAAAGAACGCGCCAAGGAGGTCAACGAGCTGTTGGAGCAGAAAGCTTACTTTTATGTGTGCGGTGACGCCTCCAACATGGCTCGCGAGGTCAACGCCGTCTTGGCACAGATCCTCTCTGGGGAGCGTGGTATTTCGGAAGGCAGGGCTGAGGATATTGTAAAGCAAATGAGGGCATCCAACCAGTACCAGGTACGTCATCGTCTGTTCGTCTTTGCAGTTCGACTAGTTGCTAACCACGCTGAACAGGAGGATGTCTGGTCATAAAGCAAGTAAAGCTGTCGATGGGACTCGGGCTACTTGGTACATGTCAATAGCGCTAGGTCAGGGCAACGTTGGCGGCTTTCGCATCAGGGGCGCTCTGGTATAGAAGGGTTTCAGCGAGAGGTGGCATGTCCATATATTACTTACATTTGGTTGTTGCTGCCGGCTGGTTGACTTTTAGAGTAATGCGTCTTTCTTTGCAAGGCCAGCGGATTCGGAACAGGTTCCATAAACAGCGTTTGAGCACTTCCTTTTAGCTATGCTCACATGGTACCTAGACAGACAGACATGGTATGAACTATATTCGTATACGTGCAGATGTTCCTAGACTCTCCTTTCCGCCGTGCCGCATCTGCAACAGTTGCACCAACCGTCCCAAGTACTGACTTGCCCCACTTTCACTATGGAAGCCGGCAGCGCAGTGTGAAACATAGCCACTTTTCACTCGACGACTTGGAACGGTTTATTGGGTACATCCGTACTGTGTATTCCCCCGGTACGTTATTGCGGCTCTAGGCTAGCCTCATTGGGTTAGTACCTATTGGAGAGTCCATGTAATGTTTTCTTGCATACCTGTGCCAGTGCCAGTGCCAGTGTCCAATTGCAGGGTGTTGAACTGAACTGGCTCCTTGGCACCTGGATTCAGGGGCTAGCACTGTTGCCCAATGCAGTAAGCGTGGAAGACTCGTCACCAACCCAAAAGCAGGGTCTGGCGAGGGTTCCGAAACCCTCGGTTCTTTCAAGCAACACACAGACATAACGGATGGTTCAGACAGCCAATTCAAGCTTCATCTTGTGCCTCAATTGATGCAGTGTCACACGGTTAGTCTATGCCTATTCGAGCCTGTAACTGTTGCTGTCCAACACAGGGCATCGAATTACTATTAGAACTGTTGGATTTGGCAGGTGGTCAGAGAGGGCAGTTCAGGGGTGACCAATGGCTTGGCACCAGGATTCTCAGGATCAGGAACAGGCAGGGAACTTTGGGAAAACACAGACAGGTACATCATCATCAATTGAGTGGTTGCCCATCCTTTTGGTACCCAACTACTACGGTGCGGCACATTCGTGGCTGTTGG